TTCATTGTCAAATATTAAAAAAAACCCACGTCATTATAGATAAAGGAAATCTGACAGGGACACAGATGTTGAGATACTAAGTTTTGATTTTGTCAGTCGACTCCTTATAAGCATATGAACATATAAACTAGATATGGACGATGCCCCCATCTGCTCTGCCATATGCATGAGTATAGTTCCACATACTTTAGATTTGACAAACAGTGATGTTGAGGTACAACTTGAAATTGTTGGCTGTCTGTAAGACACAAAAGCTGCCCCGCCTGACCATAAGTAATTATAAATTTAACACTATGTATGATGATCTATCTTTTATTTTTATTCTGAATGTCTACACTTGCAGGACTAGATGTCAAGCCAATAGGTTTCAACTATCCAGTTTTAGTAGTCACCAAGTTCAACTTTCTATTTCCAGGTTTCACCAAGATCAACTTCCAGGTATTGATTAAATATTTTACAATACTAAAAAATCGTATTTAAATTATTGCATAAGGGACATTAAAGTGTAGAAGTACAAACCATGTTTTCAATTATATAGAAAGAGATGGAAATGAATTCCAACTACCTGTTTTTGTGAATATGTAACATCCCCCTTTCTGATTTAGTGCAAAAAAAAAATACCAATACCTGCCACCCATGTTTCTTTTAGAAGGGGGAGCATTTATCGTGAGACTTTAGACGAGACACAGGATTTAACTTCCCCATTACGACAAGACGCGGCTGCTTATTTATACATCCCCAAAGCTTAAACGGACGCTCAGTTTTAGCAAGATGTTTATTGCCGGGGAGAAGAAATACATATTTCTATAGACAATTCAACACTAAGGAGGGTCTGGATGGGGTTTACAGAATAGAGAACCATGGGACAATTGTACAGATATATGTGCCGAAAAATTAATGAATAGAGAAAAAATAGGCTAAAAAAACTAAAGAATAGAAATAAAGGAGTGCTAAAATATAAAGAATAGAGAATAAATGGAGAACTCCCGATCGAGACCGTCACTTAGGGGTCTATCCTCTAATCTTCCATCAAATTATAAGACAACATAACTTCATCAATGAATCTATAACAATTAAACTTTCTATTTTTTTTATATTTTGCCACGATGCTACAAAATGTATCAAGATTTTGTAAACTACTTTGGCATTTTACTTTTTTTAAGAGTAAATTGAACGAAATAAACTTTTTTTTAATGATTTATTTTCTGAAATCTAATAGAATAATTGGTTTTTGAAATAGGCGCAAAGCTGTGCGTGTAGAACAACGTAAGATTTAAATCGGTAATTAATAAGAGGCCCCAGTAGTTATCCGATTTTTAAATCTCGTAAATCCGTTGAAAAATCATTGTAAAATTATATTTTCTTCAAAGGTGAAATGATGATGTCAGATAAACTCTACTTGAATGGTGTAAAATACAGTCATTACATTTTTAATGTATAACTCATTCAAAGTGGTCGTGTGATGAACAAATACCCCTAAAATAACGAAATGAGCTAGAGAAATAGTTTAGCTTTTATTAGCAGTAAAGCGTAATATTTAGATTTTTCATACTGACGTTGCACACGATGTTGGTACCAATTCCATTTTGCTATAGATTAGCATGAAAATAAATACGTAGACGGGTCAGTTCTTTAAAAATATAGTGATTTCTGGTTGAATTAATTACAGTTGACTTGAAAATATAGAAATTAAAAAGGAAACAAAATTTAAAATATCAAGAATTATAACATTTAATTATCCCATTTTTACGCAAAAACGTAATGTCCAACGTTACATTTTGTGTGCAAAAGGTCGGAGTTCCGTTTCTTTACTACAGTATTTTTTTTTCTGATCATCGTAAAACTTCACAAGAGTATAACTATTGTTATTGTTATTCGCGTGTTAAAGCAAAATCAATATCACTGAAACCGTAAACCGAAAAATGTTATTCTTGAAACCGGTCTGAGAAATGTCCAACCATATGCAAGGTAAGCATATATCGGGTTTGCGCATTTATACCGTGAAATTGGAAATGCTGAGAGGAAAAATATTTATGATATTTTGAAAGTAATTTTACTTTTCTCCTGGTTCATGATATTTTTTTGCCGGAAACCGTGCGTATAGTTTCTATTGCAATGACTTCAAAAAGTATAGCCATCTTGTCCCAACGAAAAAAACGCTGTATTTTCTTTACAATTGAGGTTTTAACCGGCTGTATATTAAATAAGCATAGTTAGATCATAGAAAATAAAACTAGGTGGTAAAAGTTTTTTTCTTTTTCTTTTTAAACAATATAGTGCTTAACATTTTTTCGATTGGCAACAAGATTTTTTAGATTGTTTTAAAAAGTATAGCCGTTTTGTCCCAACGTTCGCAAAACGTAATTGATGTCATGCTCGGGTTTTTAATTTTATATCATAATCATTTGTTTCCAGTTTAATTCGAATGAAAATATAAATATAAGTTATAATATAACCAATGTATGATAAAGGAAAAGTTTAAGTTTAAATTCAAATGTTGACCAAATGAGATTGATATAAAAAATATCGGGATCTTAGTTTTTTTTCAGCACATTCATGACATTTGTTTTATTCAAGGAACGTTGTCTATCTGCAAGTTGTAAATCATCAAAAGCAACATGCATATCTTTTTTGTTAAAAAAATAAAATAGAGAAAAAATTATAACAAAACAAAGGATATGCATATGCCACAAAAATACGGAAATGAGAAAAACATGAATCCAAAATGTTTAACTACCTAGAAATTTTGCGACAAAGAAAGCATCGGGAAATGATAAAATATAGAAAGGAAACGAAAATGGAAAGAAACGCAAAAAAAAAAAAGAGGAGTATGTATAAACATGCAATAAAAAGGGAAAATAGATTCAAAATCTAATTTATATTAAAAACAAATCTGTATAAATTTGGAAATTAATGTATGATTCATTAATGCGAACTGCTGCAAAAAGTAAAATTCTCAATTATGGCCTGGAAAGACTGACAACTCATATAAATGAATATTCATTAAAAAAATATGTGTACGACCACTTTGAGTTTTATTTGTTAAACTATGCATTTTCAGACAAACCGAAATCGGTTACCAAATTCACAACAGTAAATTGACCTCATCAATTATAAGCTTAAACGCTTGAAACGTTCTTTGAAATCATCGAAATCGCTTCATTATGAGGAACGTCGTGTAACGCTTAGTAGTACCAACATCGTGCGCAACGTCACTACGAATGGAGTTATAAAATGATAAATACACAAACAATGAATTCCTTGAACCCTTAAACGTTTTATCATCTAGGAATTTTTACTTTTCTTTAGTAACAACAGCTATAATATATGTATGAACTGTTTTCTATAGCTTACCTGGCCCAAAGGGCCAAGTGAGCTTTTCTCATCACTTGGCGTCCGTCGTCCGTTAACTTTTACAAACATTTTCTCCTAAAACTTTAAGAACAAATATAATCACACTTGGCCACAATCATCATTAGGATATCTAGTTAAAAAATGTGTCCGATGAATACGCCTGCCAACCAAGGTAGCCGACATGGCTTAAAATATAACATAGGGGTTAAATGCAAGTTTTGTCTATTAATTTTGAAAACTGTTTTAAATATTTTATCCTTTATTTCAAGTTGGATAGGATAAACGCGTTAAATATAGGCACCACACTTGAAGGTTTTAGTGAGAAGACATTGCGTATACAGCGGAACGTAACGTTTAAGGTTAATGCTAAAATAGAGGCGAAAGATACAAAAGGGACATTAAAACTAGCTAGCATCTTTTTATTCTTCTAAGAACATGTAATAGCTCTTATGTGAAATCTGCCGTATATCAACAGAGGAACAAGTCGAACATGTAGAGGAACACAGTTTGTTCCTTTGCACATTGTTTGTTACAAAACAGGTCATCTAAACGTAAAAAATATGTTGTTAATAAAAAAATCAAGCATCTTGATAATGTCAGATTTAGGGTTTTTTTTTTGTGTGAAGTGTTATTTATCCCTCGCTACCCTAGATCTGTGTATCTACGTTGGCAATTGTGTATGAATAGAAGACCAATTCTTTTAATTTGTTTTAAGCTTTGAATGGGGAATATTTGTTAAAAGTCTTGACAATTAACACCTCTCTATCTATCTACTGTTTCCCTAATTGTACAATTACTGTCGCCTTAATTATAAGTGTACACATATCCTTTGATATATAAAATAAATCAAGTGGAATGCTTTTTAGCTTTATCAATGTTTGCATTTAACAAGTATCATATTTGGGAATTCTGTCTTCTTCAAAGCAAACCCAAACCATGACTGTCAATATGAGAACACCTTTTAAAACAATCCCTTTTTACCAACCTGTACTGAGGGATTCAATTTATGGTTCCTCAAAATATTCTTATTTGGTAGAAATATTTGGCCTCAAATTCTTTTGACCCTGCTATATAAAAAATATTTTACATGAGATATGCTTTGCTATTTGTTCAAAATGGTTGCACAATGACATCTTTTGGATACAACTCCTTTTCTGAGAGATTTCAAGAAAGGTTTCATACTTGGTATTATTGTTGTCATCATTAGCAGCTGTCTTAATTTTATCATACAATAATTTTTAGAAGGATTTACTGGGATTTTTATGTTTGTTCTCATACTTGAAACACAGGTCCATCCTCTGAACGCCACTCCTCTGACACCATTTGGTAGAATCGCTTACCATGCTGTGAACCTGATCATATCAACATGTCATTTGATTAGACAATTTATATGGAGCAATGATGCTTTGACTTTTTTTACAATTATTTCCGATAACACCTATGGAACGCAAATCCTCTAAGACAGTTTCCCTGAAACAACAATGCTCTAGAACATCTAGACACAACAACCGAAGTAAAAAATACACGTTATCTGAGTGAGTGCCAACCTCAGTGTAGTTTAAGCATAATTGCATATTGTACGAAACATATGGCATTACATGTAATATCCATATAATCCATATGCTTAATCTTGAATCATGAACAGCTTATATATTAATATATATTTATTTGAATAACTACACAGACAAGTAAAATAATACATGGTTAAGGTAAAACTACATAATTACAAAGTAAAGGTACAGATATGATAAAATGCAAATATCTCCGTACTTAAAGCCCTTTTAAACAATAAAATATGCTCAACTAAATGGTTTTGGTTACCTAGACGAACATATACTTCGGAATAATGTTCAATTTGAAATTAATTAAACTAAATGATTTATAATTTTCTTAAATTGTGAAAGTCATAAAAGGTCATACACATTTTGAATAAAAACAAACAGAAAAACAACACCTGGGGATAATGGTCTAATAACTTGATAAATTTTCATTCAAATTTTTCGGAGATAAAATCTTCTGTTGTCTGATTAGGAACATGCGTATTACCTGTTTAGAATTTACTATTTCGAGATTTTGGTTAACTAAATGTAATTACTGCCTTCATTCGACCTGTTAAACGATCAAGGTAAAACTTGTTGGTATATACGGACGTATACGTAGTCGTATTACCTTTAACCTGTAAAAAGTCTGTTTGAATTCATAAAGCTTTTTTTTTCACAATCAACACTTTACAAAATTATATTATTGACACCTGTTGTGGTCAACAGTCATTCCTAAAAGGGCGTCGGATCGTTAAAAAATACAAAAAAGTACATACAAAAATGAATTAAAATAAAGTTTCTAAAGATAGCACGTTTAAACTAACTGTTAATGAAAAACATAATATAATAAACCAATAAATATTTCGAAATACATTTACATCTTCACTATCATTGAAGCTGCGATTAACCGTTAGAAGATTGAATATTGCTCTTAAATTTACACCTACATATTGTATACCAAAACAAAAGTAAAATAACAAAATTACAAAACTCCGAGGAAAATTTAAAACGGAAAGTCCATAATCAAATGGCAAAATCAAAAGCTCAAACACATCAAACGAATGGATAACAACTGTCATATTCCTGACTTGATACAGGCATTTTCTTATGTAGAAAATGGTGGTTTAAACCTGTTTTTATAGCTAGCTAAACCTCTCACAACCTGTATGACAGTCGCATAAAATTCCATTATATTGACAACGATGTGTGAACAAAACAAACAGACATAATAGGTAAAAATGTCAAAACTAGGGGAACAGTAGTCAACAGTCAATGCATTGAAAGATACATGTAGATATCTTAAAATTCCACTTAAATACATAAATATTATATATTCAAAGGAATATATCAGCAAGAATAAGTTATAGAATAAAAAAATTGGAGTCCATTTCTACCTATTATCCTATAATTTGCATCTAATCACTTTATTAAATGTCATGTTTATTATGGTTTGACGAGGCCCTATAGATGCTTTCATTTGTTCATATTTTAACTGTGTATACCCCTAGGAACCTCTACTATCAATACATTCTGTTTTGTTGCCATTATCTGTTTTACAGTCTTCAGAGTTTCCTCTAGATTTTTCTGAATTATATCTACGTCAGACGACAAAACGTTTATTTGTTCTTGCAAGCTTAGATCTGTATCTTTTTCATAACTAGCTTCAAACCTGAAAGCATGACAAAAACAATCGGAAAATATTTAATACTTAAAGTTCGACAAACGTTCATCTTTAATTTTAAAAGCAAATGCTTCATTTATACTTTAACTTTTTATAATTGGTCGCATGAAAGAAAATGATTTTGCTATTCATCACTCCCTTAATCGTTTATCAGATTGCTAAATCCCAATGTCTGAAGTGACATATTAAAATATATATAACTATTATTTAAAATATTCCTAAAATAATGGGAAACATAACTTGAAATGATGTTTACGAATATTTTTTAAAAACAAGAATATAAAAGTAATGTTAAAAAAAACCCCCCGAAATATGAAAACAGAAAATACCCGTCCTTTTCAGCATTCATATTTCTGGCCCGACGTCTTCGTAACCGAGTTGATGAATTTAAATGACTGTATACTGCATCTTTTTCTAGAATAGCTAATTTTTCATTTTCGGCATCAGTTTCTGTAATTTCTGTAAAAAAATATTTTCAAAGTGTTGAGTTTTTTCTTCTCCAAAATGACGTAAAAGAAGGATTTGTGTATTCCTTCAATCTTACTCAAAAATAATGTAAAACATGAAAATTGAATATACTATAGGTTGCACTTTGTAAATACAGCTATTTCTCAAACCACGCCTCTTTTGGGGAGATATATTATATTCATAGATATGTTAATTTGTTAATGTACTGGTTCCCATTTATGATCTCTGTGTTTCATCTCATAGAGACATCACTTGGGAATGTAACCAGTATAGAAAAACATGGTAGCGCCTAAATTTTAATTATTAGGAGGTCCAAATATGAAGGTAAGGATAGTATAGAATTTTAGTATAAGTTTAAACTCTTAGAAGTTCAGGGCATATAAATGTTGAAAATATGCCGCACAGCCCTATATTTTGACCTTTGAATAAAATAGTAGTGCATATAAACTTTCCGTTCTGGGATATTATTTTTCACGAAACTTCATAGTAAAAGTGTCACAGTTTTAGCCGCAAAGGGAGTTCCTATGGGAAATTGCATTGTCTATATTTACAGAATTGCAACCTATATAGGGTTAAAAAATAGAACATACAGAATTTCACAAAATCTGGTTTATCTCAGAGATTTTAAAGAATTTAACTCAAATATGAAGTTTTATAAATATTTCATGAAGATTGAGAAAATCCTGAGCCTTAACTATGATGACTCAGCATAAATTCACAGTTTACAGTATGCATGGTTTACTTCAATCCATGAATTCAAAATAAATCCATAATATATGCCTTTTTGTGATTTAAATTGTTTAGAAGTGCCTATATTTACTCTTCGCAGTCATTGAAACTCGTTGATCCTTCCTAAATAATTTTGTTAGGTTATTTTTGTCCTGTCGATAACCCAAAAGTAAGCCGTAACACCTAAATGTGTTTTTTTGTGACCGCGGCATTAAAAAGTACAAGCTAGAATTACAAAAAGACCTCAATAAAACTTACAATAGTGTGTTCTATCCTAAATATATACTAAATACTCCACATTGCTAGAAACAGGGAAAATATTAAGGAAATGTGAGGTCCCAGGGGGCAAAAAACAGAAAAAAATACCTACCCTGGGTCATAAAACAGATAATTTAACTTGTAAATGCTATGATTTTATTATTTTCAAGGTCTTTTGTAAACAAAACAATAACTGTGCTGGAAAGTTATGCAAAAAATAAGATGTAAGCAGTCATTTCTATCAAACTTTTAGTGAATTTATGCACTAGACTGATATCTTCTTAAATAAAATTTTGCAAATATGGCTTTGTTTAGACACTTCTAGTTCATACATTAACTAACTTATGTTAGTTATATGGTTAGAGATGATACTGTTGTGACAATAATTCTTAACTGACCATTTGAGACATAAATTGTGAACTTTCATTGACAAATAGACATACAGTAAGATGTGGACTGGAGACACAGGCAGGATTGGATACTTTGTATAATCTTGAATGTTGGAATGATTAACTACTAAACAATACATTTATAGTATTGTAAAATGCTTTCAATTTGTTATCAGAATAGTTTCAAACATGTTTTAGACATTTTATGTCAGAAAACATGCACATAGGGTAAGCTGGCAATGATTCAAGTCTTGTTTTCAAATTCTTTAAAAAGCTGAAATAGGGGTAGGGGTATAAAATGTACTGTAAAAGGAAACTTAGAGTATATGCAGTGATTTCCTTAAGGTTATAATTCTGATAAATAAGTATTGTTGTGAGAAAAAGTAATTTTAGAAGGTTTTCTATTTGAATAAATGTTTGTATAGGTTGCACTTTGTAAATACAGCTATTTCTCAAACCACGCCTCTTTTGGGGATATATATAATATTCATAGATATGTTAATTTGTTAATGTACTGGTTCCCATTTATGATCTCTGTGTTTCATCTCATAGAGACATCACTTGGGAATGTAACCAGTATAGAAAAACATGGTAGCGCCTAAATTTTAATTCTTAGGAGGTCCAAATATGAAGGTAAGGATAGTATAGAATTTTAGTATAAGTTTAAACTCTTAGAAGTTCAGGGCATATAAATGTTGAAAATATGCCGCACAGCCCTATATTTTGACCTTTGAATAAAATAGTAGTGCATATAAACTTTCCGTTCTGGGATATTATTTTTCACGAAACTTCATAGTAAAAGTGTCACAGTTTTAGCCGCAAAGGGAGTTCCTATGGGAAATTGCATTGTCTATATTTACAGAATTGCAACCTATAAGCGGAATCCGATAATGCAAACAAGAAGAAACTTTTAACCTCGCCGCCCATTCATGCACTTGTCCCATTTTATTAATCTTATTAGTGATTGTGTTAAATCATTTCTTAACTTGTTGGTAAATTTTGCATATCTTAATTAATTCTGTCTCATGACAACATTTATAGACTCAGTCCGATTGAAAAATTGTCATTTTGTATAAAACATGTCTGCAGTTTTGTTTTTTTGCACCCTTTATGAAAATAAGGAGACGTGGTAAGACTTATATTTAAGAATAAATAAGCACTAAATGGTCCAATAGTTACATTATATACAGGGATGTACATATACATGATATGTGTACTATATATAGGACCATTGAGTGTAACCATTTATAAAATATCAACTTTGATATGAAGAACAGCTATACAAGCGCTGTTGCTTTGCTTTTTTTTTTGCCGTGCATATATTGATTTTGTGTCATGGATGGGTACCCCATATCCTTTGTTTTTCTATTACATGTACAAAATTCATCCTTTGTCAATTCGTTTGGATTTGGTTTTATGCGTTATATCTGTAACGAGACGGACTTTTAAATGGCTTTGAAGAGTATTTTCATAGCAGGTATTTCTACAAGCTGTTAATGTCAATTAACCAGCGCGGAGTCAAAATTTCAAAATCGCGATAAAGACACGTTCGGTAAAATTACAGAGCAAACACCTCAACTCGTATTTAAAGATCGAAGATGTTAGTAAGGAATATATCTTTTGCTTATATGATACTATATAAATAACACATAGCTCAGAGGGTGATAGAGCAGAGTGTTACCCCGAGAAAAAATTGTCAACTGAGGCGAAGCCAAGGTTGACAATGTCTTTTCGAGGGGTAACAGTCTGCTCTATCACCCTCTCAGATATGTGTTATTTAATTTATTATACTGAATGTTCTGTTATTACTGTCGATTAAATTTCAAATTCAAAGTAATAAACTACGACGTCTTGTACATAACAACCATCCGTATTTAATAAAGCGCACACTTGATCAAGCGTCTCCGTGAAGGGTAATAGAGTATTTGCCATAGGATAGAGTCGTATTTAATAAAGCGCACACTTGGTCAAGCGTCTCCGTGAAGGGTAATAGAGTATTTGCCATAGGATAGAGTCGCATTTAATAAACGCACACTTGAGCAAGCGTCTCCATAAAGGGTAATAGAGTAAATTAACACTCTCGAATTAGCCTATCAAAAGTATAATAAATCTAAATGTTACCTCTTATAAAGAGCTAAGGTTTCACCGAGATTTTTTCTTATCTGAGGTAAACAACTTGATGCACACAGAAGTAGGTTTTTGCTGTGAAGGATTTATAAATACGCAAACGCAAACGCGTGTGGTCGAAACGGGAAAATAATTTCCACAGCTCATGCAAAGAGTGTTTAATGATTTCTGCATGTAAAAGAAACATTGAAACAACTCTTTGATTGTCTAGTAAATGGACTACTACATGGCAAAAGTTTCAAAAATACAACCATTTTCTAGAGGCAGTCAAAATTCCAGGCCTTCATATCGGTTGAATCATATGCAGAACCTACCTATCATGCCTATTGCATACAACTTTTATCAATTTTTGTTTGAATCTTTTAGAAACGTTTTCGTAAAGTGTATTTTTGTATTTCAAACTTCACAAAATGAATCGGCCAGGAATAATCTGCTGTACTTATAAATAAATATTCTTGGCAATATTAGCACATAAAGTTATTTTACCGTGATATAAAACAAATTTTTTGCAAAAAGAAAAATTATACATTCACATCTACCAGAATTACGTCTGATTCAGTATCTTAATCACTCGTTTTGAGTTTTTTGCGTTTTAAAATCTATTTCAATAAACCAATTATTTCATACACAAAATAATTGTTTTGATTGCCGATCTACACATGTGAACAATTTTATCAGCTTTTTATCCATACTTTTAGATTAATTTTGTGTTTTCACAAGTTCACTCGAGACAATTGAACGCTTGGAAGACTTAATAGATTTCTATCTTTTATTGAGGACCATGTTGACCTATCAATATCTTTTTGTTATGTGTGCCGTTGCTCATTGACGTTTACCCGCATCCTACTTATTCATCTTCTATAAATACGTATTACTTACTAAACTTGTTTTTTCTTTTACCTGTACATCTATTTTTGATGTACAAAATAAATATCTTGAGATGACTGAGGATAATAAATGGTGGTACCAATGATGATCTATCATAATACTCCTGAATGAGCGAAAATCTGTGGAATTTCCAAACCAGTTCGTTGTTGTCTTGAACTTTTGTAAACGTATGTCTAGGATTTAATAAAGACATAATGCAAATTTCATAAGTATACTTTAGCATCATATTGATTTGCTTATCAGATTTTTACCTACAAGGTTCATTTTTTATATCTACGCTTATTTTATTACAATAAGCCTCCTTTCAAAAATTCTAATCAAAAACCAATTGTTACATCGTCAACACAAAACATCTTTTAACATGAGGGACATCTTTTCTCATTTTGTTAGGCAAAGCAAGCATTCCGGATCCTGTATAATTGATTTTTGTTTAGAAGAATATGAACAGTGATGTCAATACCTATATAAAGATACCGACCGTGCAAGACCCTCATGGGTAGTCAAGGTCGTTAAAAAACCCCCTCGACGTCGTATATAAAGAGGGGGTTCCGAGTGCAAATAAAAAAATATCAAACGGAAATCGTTACCATGTAAACAGTAACTCCCCTTAACGTAAACCCTGGGATATCGTATCGATGAGGAGATACTACTCTATATGCAGCCGCTGCTGGAATGTTGCTTAAAAAAAAAAGAGAATGTGTAAAATGTGAAAATTTCAATTTTGTATTAATGACTTTACTCTGATCTGTTGGATGTTTGACGAATTGAAATCCAAAAGAAAAATTCGAAATAAGAAATTGAGTCTTTAGTTCGAAAAAAAATCCAAACTTTAAGTATCTCATTCTACATGTGAGCGTACCTCAATAAGCCATAAAATGAACTTACACACATAACTTCAAACGGTGCTTACAGTGGTGTTGGATCTACTTATACATCCTAAGCACTAGCAATTTTTTTGATCTGTTTCGTGGATTACACTTTTAAGTCTTTTATGTAGTATATTGTGGACTTGTTGGTTTTTGCCATCCATGTCTTTGTTGTTTTTTTTTCAACATTTGAGTATTGACTTGCCTAAATTTTGCTTTACATTATTTTACAAATAGCACTAAATTGAGGTCGTTGATTAATATGCATATTATATCAATCTGATTCACACAAAACACATTTTGAAACCGACATGATCTAGATGCTTAAATTTTTGATTGACAACATAACATTTGCAGGACGTGTTTTTCAACAAATAATCGGCAATCACACTAAAACCAAATTGGCCCTTCTCCTTGTCAACGTCTTTCTTTAGTCATATGATTCTTACTTCGTACATGTGCATAGACGATGTTTTCTCTATGTTGAAACCATTTATTCTATCGAACTTGAAATAAAGGATACATCATATACAGTGAATTCTGCCTCATATATTGACTTACATCTAGAAATTGACAATGAGGATCCGCTGTGAACAAAACTTTTCGACTAGAGAGATTATAGCTTCCCAATTATGGACTGTCTATTTCTATGTAGCAACATTCCGGCCTGCATATTGAATATATATCTCCCAGTTGATACGAGCTTGCCTTTTCCTTGATAGAGGATTGCTGCTCACAGGGAAGGTATTAAACAAGAGTTCAAAGTTAAATCAATAACTTCGAAAAAGTTACGGATGTCATCACGAGTTAATTAACCCATTATGAGATATCTGTTTCACAGATGACGACGGATAGTCGTAGCCACAATCATGTCCTCTTGTCATCGGATGTGAAGTATTGAAATAGACATATTCCCAGGTGTGCACTTACATGAGCAACACAACAAGTGCCACATGTAGAGCAGGATCTGTTTACCCTTCCGAAGGACGTGAGAACAACGCTGGTTTTGATTAGGTTCGTATTGCTCAGTCTTTAGTTTTCTTCAATAGTTTTTATATACTGATGTTCGTCTTCTTGTTCTTTTTTCGTTGTTTTTGCCATGGCATTTTAAGTTTATTTTCAACTTCTGAGTTTCAATATTCTACGCTTCTCTTTAAAAAAAAATCCAAAGTACTAGATAACTTATTAAACGTGTTGTTTTCAATTTTTTACATCACTGGGTCGATACCTCTGCTGGTGAACTATCAGTCCCCGAGGGTATCATCAGCTCAGTAGTCAGTACTTCGGTACTGACATGATTTATAACAAACCTTTCTAAAATTGTCCGTTGTTAAATTTTGAAATTATAAAGAAACTAAGGTTTCAACTCCCTAGCTCAGGCAAAGTTAACCTTAGATGAATTTGGCTATTTGTTTTAGGTGTTTTTGTCATTTAGCTCTATAACTGTTTCGGTACTTATACATCCCTCGGATTTCAAATGTTTGGCTTTGAGCAGTCCCGATGAAGGTAAATCTAGAAAAGCGCTTAGGACCTATGAAATTATTAAACGTGTTGTTTTCAATCTATACATCAAACAGTCTGAATCATTAATCATACTTACGAAAACATCGCAATTAGAAGATTTACAAGAACTATATGTGTTACCACCATGTAAACGGACAGTACAAATGTATTTATCTGGTTTCTTAAAGGACATCTATCCATAGTCCCATTACTGTATAGTTCTACATTTTCAGTACAATCATCTGGCAGTGTTCCTGATCATATATAAAAAAACAGTAACAACGTATTTTAGGATTATTGTATTGTTTAGAAATTTGAGTTCTTCTATTGATTTATATTATTTGAGTATAGTATCTTATATATTTAAATTCAACATACCAACCAATATTATTATTTTCACAACATTGTTTAAATCTCCTGTCTTGAACTTTTTGAGATTTATCTTTATTGTAAGTCATATTTTGAAAGAACGATTTGCCTAAAAACATAAAATTGTTTCCATGCAATGCAATTGTTATTTCAACAACAAATAATATTGAATACGATTGAATAAAATGAAAACAAGTACGTTCAATGCTACCAAAAGAAGGTTACAAGCCAATAACAAAAATAAAAAAAACAAAAATACCGAACTCCAAGGAAAATTCAAAACATAAAGTCCCTTAACAATTGACAAAATCAAATGCTCAAACACATCAACCGAATGGAAAACAACTGTCATATTCCTCACTCGGTACAGGCATTTCCTTATGTAGGAACTGGTGGATTAAACCTGGTTTTAAAGCTAGTTAAACCTCTCAATTGTATGACAGTCGTATTGAATTCCATTATATTGGTTGGACAATTCTGACTTGTAAGTACGCATACCTAAACCTTTGATCAAGATTTATGAACACAAAATTCAATAGAGAACATGTTTACTTAATTCAGTAGATAATAATAACGGATAAACACAAATAAAATGTCGACATATCAGAAAAAGTTAATTTGAATATTATAGAATAGCGTATTTTAAAATGCATTCAATAGCTCTATTGAACTTAGTATTTGACAATGCAATCATATATGATTGAAAGAACAAAAAATGTAATCTGAATATCACGAATACATGGAAATGAAAAACTCCTATTCATTAACGGAATGAGATAAGTATAATAACAAGACACGCAAAGGAAACGGATGGCATTGCTCATGCCATGACCGGAAATGAATCAAATTAAGATTTGTTAAAAAGTGAAAAAAGTCGTAGCAGTCAATAAAATTAGTCAACAGTTATGGATAATAGTAATTATGGCGTGATGAATCTTTGCAGACTGATTTCTGTTTATGTTTACGGAATGGCCAACGGTATGTATTTAGGTAGATAGGTAGTGAAAACAGAGGTACATTGACACTAACATTTCAATTTTTCTATAGATTATTATACCATTTTTTTGCAGTATAATTATAGAGTACTTGATGATTCAATATCTTTTATGATCTTATATCTAAAAAAAAAAGATTATTCTGGATCGAATCAGAATTTGAATGGCATGTTCACAAAAGTATGGTATTATACATTTTATAAAGATAGTATTTGCACCGACTGATATAATGACGTAACTGAATTATGTACACGTTAACAACGGCTGTAAATACATAAGTTACCGTAAAATTGTTCTAGGAATAATTCTCCATACAACTGCCAATATGGCATATATACGAGATTCTGAAAAAGTGGAAATCCAGGTAATGTATTTGGGTACATAGTTGCTTGGTAAATGACTCCGAAGCCGAATAAAAACACAGCAAATATCAAGATGAAGAAAATGACGTCGAACATCTACAAAGAAATTAAGACTTATACAAGTATGTCTTAAACACATAACAAGGATCCAATCTACCCTCGGTTCCAATAGATTTTACAGCATTCAATGGAATTATTGCCTTAAATTTATTTGAATATCTGTATGATTATATACAAATATAACGATCTCTTAAAAAAATTTCAGAACAACAAGTGAAACAAAGAGTTATCAGGGACTTGTAAGCGAAGCTTTGGACATAGGATTTATATTTGATAACATTGAAACATCTAGCAGAGGCAAACAAACTATCTTTATACGGTAGATAGATAGTGAAACGTCATTAACTTGTAACATATAAACCAGTTAAACATGACTTGTTACATATAGATTATAAAAACAATTCAGTATTAAAACGTTTAAATCGACATGTAAAATACTAATGGTATTGCTCTGTGAATATTTATTACACTTTTTTGTCCTATTGACCAATAGGGATACAGAGTGTCTGATTGACCAATAGAGATAAAGAGTGTTCGACGGAGCAGTTATTTTAGAGCCTATGTGTCCTATGCTTACATTAAAAGTTATATTGTTTAATTAGTAGTAAGTTTAATATCTACATTTGAGAGTAAATGCTGCATTTCAAGCAGAATCATGGCATATATTTCTCATGAAATCAATTACATCATTAATGTAAAAATAGGACCTCGTTGAATACTGTATCATCATTTATATCGTGAATACCAATTTTTGTGAATTGAAGAAAAAATATATTTTACGTGAAAATTCCGTGGGATTTCGAAAGTTCCAATACAAACCTTTAGCAAATTCAAATCTTGTTACAAGAATTTGAATTCGTGGTTTCAATCTAACAAAGAAATCCACGAAAACTGGTATCCAACGAATAATAATCAATCCACAGTATTTTGTTATAACGTGAAGATCCATTATTCAAATCATTTGTCAACAAAGAAACTATGATATCTTTACTTACCATTCTTCCAATCATAATAACTTTCGGTCCAATCTGTTTGGAAACAAGAAAAAACTGCATGCTGTTTATGATAAATGTTCCTAATGTTACTGCATACATCATTCGTGCATTATAAAAGTGCTCAGCTGACAATGTAAATCGAAGAATTACAGACATGATAAACATACAGTACATCAACAATTCAAACAGTGTCCAAAAGGAGAACCAGGTCATTGCATTCAGGGTCAGTTGCCTCCACTCGAAACTTTGAAAGTGATTCATAGCAATAGCCTGAAAGAAAATGTATCGTATTACATAGTAAAAGTTGCTGTTTGGTATATGTCAATAGTAGAGCAACATAACAAAAGATGAAAAAAGGTTAAAGGTCTTCAACAAAAGGTATCATACAATATATCTAGTCACTGCCTTTGCCGCGTATTGAAGAATACTAGTTAATAGTATGAGGTATATCCTCATGTGATTAAATGATAAAAATAAGTCATCAACAATATAAAGTAAAAACTATCATGATTACAAAATCTCAACCAGTGATTAGGTAACGGGAATGAAGACAAGTAGATTAATATACGGCAAGATTGAAAAACATGAGATAATTTTTTCCTCACGCATATTTGGCTATAACTATCATACTGGTGGTATTTTCTAATTATAAACTTGGTATCGTCTCCATTTAATCTATAGGTTGCATATAACTATGCATGATCTCCATGTTCAAGTCATAGAGATAGAACTTGGGTGTTTTACCAGTATAAATACTGTTGGATAGCGGACAAATTGAATTCTCAGGAAGACTCTTAAGTAAAAAGAGGGGAAGTACAGAATTTTATGTTTTGACCTTTGCGAAAAATATAAGTGCATATGAATTCTACATTCCCTGATTTTTTTACCAAATTTCATAGTCAAATTGTCGAAGTTGTAGCAATAACAGTAGTTTCCATGAGAAAATTACATTATATATTTACAGAAGTGCAACTATATTGGGTACAAAGGAGAACATATAGAATTTTACCAAATCTGGTTAATCTTCAGCGATTAAAATGAAATTAACTCCGATATAGAATTTCATAAATATTTCACAAAGATTGAGAAAATCCTTGGCTAGGGTTTCCCCTGGGTCAATTTGTTTTTCGCCACCTCTTCCGTCGAAACAATATCTTTTTCGTCACTCTTGCAAGTAACACAAACATATTTGTGTTAAGAACTTGTTTCTCTATTTGCTAACAAAAAAATCATTTTGCAGCATTGTCTCATCTATCATAATTCTGCATGTCTATTTTAAATTCTACAATGAAATATGATCTTGTAGAGATACACCTTGGGACTATTACCAGTATAAATACTGTTAGATAGCGGACACATTGAATTCTCTTACAAATTCAAGACATATACGTTTTCGGATTTTACTAGACTAGATAATTTTGAGTGCCAAATTTTTCGCATTCTACGGTCGGCCAAATCATGTTGACATCTTTTGAATCAATGGCTTCAATTGCCAATCATTTTGGTAAACATATTTCTTACACGAGATACCTTTCTAATAATCTGTACTAGAAATCTTGCTAGGTAAAGTAAGCCCTAGACTATTCAAACAACAGATGCAGCTGTGGTGTTAGTGTTAATTTGGAGACAGGAAGGCACATTGTTCAGATAAGCATCAAATTTTCTTTACTTGTTTATCAAACCTTTATCCTCATTTAAAGTGTAATAAAAGATAAGAAACCTTTTAAACTTTACTTGTGATACCTCAATGTATGTTTAACGGAATAAATACGATCAACAACGTCATTAAAAAATGAAAACAAAACGTAATAAATTTCATGCGTTCGAAGTGCTTTCCTGGAAATACCTTCATCAGGAACGCTCGAAGCCGAATATTTGAGAGCAAAGGATGTATATGAACCGAAACAGTTGAAGAGCTATATAACCAAAAAAAGATCTAAAAAATAGCCAAATCCATCTAAGGTCAACTTTGCTTGAGGGAGTTGAAACTTTAGTTTTTAAAATTTAAAAATTTAAAATTATTCAATTCGAGTATATCCTTTATATAGCAGAACTTTAAGTAACAATACAAATTCTTTTAATTATCTTTGAAGCTGTAATACCGTTAGACACATTTTCAATTCCGTTGTTGGCTTGTTTCCTGTTTCCCACCAACTTATGTATTAGAAATGTCATGATTATGTACTACAACTTCCGTAATACTGTAAAAATATGATTGAGCAATGCTATAACTAATGAGACACTTTTTACTAGTGAACCTCCAGTATGTAATCATTGCTAATATGATTAAACAAAAGAATGTCAACTATCAGTTGAACACTGCGTCCACGAAACGTTGTATATGGTCTAGTGTTAGAAAAGTAATACATTGTCATCTAGTATGGATGTTAAATTTGTCTTTTGAAATAAAAACTGCATTTTAAATTTGATTTGTCTTTTCTAGCTTTCGGTATTTATGTTTACCCGCATCTCTTTTCAAATCGTTTCTTTTCGTAAAAAGGCAACATTTTTACATGCTTAAAAATTGATGATTGAATCAATTTAGTGAAATAATTGTTGATGGTAATCATTTAGGAATGTGTTGCTAACAATGATGTGTGATAGCGTGCTCATAATTGATATATTACCGAGCCAATAACTGAATATTTACTCATTAGATGTCATACAAGTTATCCATAACCTTCAATGACCTGTCCGTCATATAACTGCACTCAAGACTTATTGAATTCAAAAATATATTGTATTCGTATAATTACCTGTCGTATTTCTTCTGTTAATGATGATGCAGCCCATGCATAAACAATGTATTCATAAATTGAGGGAAATTTGTCTTCAATGGAATGTAAATCTGTTAGTACAAACAAGCTGAATACCACCAACATTGTCAGATACGTTAACTATTTTAAATAAACAAGACCATTTGAAAATGACAAAACAATTTTGGTTCAAATTAACGTAAACCAATGAGTTTGAATATCCGACTTGCAGAACACAACACGCAACATGGTTCACATATTTGCTGTAGGATCTGCATTCCCTTCCGGGGGCGCTGGATAACACCTTCGAATTTGCGTTGTGGTCGTGTTGCCAGATTTTAGATAATGAAGTGTTTTGTGAACTGTTGTCTTTTGTTTTCGTCTTTTTTGCCATGGTATTGCCTATTTTTCTCGACTTATGGTTATTCTTATCTGTTTGGTACATTCTCCCCTATTTCTATATGTTTATCCGAAAATGAAACTACTTGATATCTGAAGATGTCTTTTAAGTTAATTAATTGTCAACTGCACTCGGTCCTGTTGCCAATGTTTCATTAATACTCAGTTTTAAATAACAAATAAATCTTAAAGATAGGCCTGCACAAAATTGCATTAAACGTCTGATTAACTGTCCAAAATTCGACTAGATATGGCTGTGCGTGCGTATTGCAACATTAAACACAGATAAACAGACGTCCTTTGTTTGGGAGTCCGACCCTAGATAAAATAAATTTGGGATTTTTTTTTATTAAATTGGGGGTAATTTTGAGAGGAAATGTTGTGATTTCAATCTATTGCTTATTATCATCCTCCTTGAATCCCTTGTTTGTTCGACCTCCGACCACGAAATCAAAACCCGAAAACTGGCAAAGGTGTTTCCTGATCCTTGCCTTTTCTAATATAGTTTATAAAATATATAACTCGATTTCTGTTGAAACAGAAAAATTTGATCCTTACTTTAAGTGCACTCGAAGAGAAATTGCAAATCCAGACAGTTACTATACCTTTCTGTGGTAGCAATATAGTACTTAGCACACCGTGGTTTTATAGTATAACATTTGGCTCGAAAACTTTATTTCAACTTAAGTAACTCTTAGATCAGAGCACACCGAATGTCACTAATATTGAAAATATATAATGTTAAATTAAAAAGTAAAGTATATTTAGGTAACAATATCAACAACATACACCGGTGATTAAAGATCCATTACTCAACATATGTAACAATGTGTAAAAAGATAAAATATAAAACCGTTGAATGATCATTATAGCTTCAATACCAAACAAACAAGCTGAATATTGTTTTTATAAAACAAGTATAAACTATGAACGTCATTCAACTTATTTACAAGAAGGCCTTAGAAAGCATCGACATAATGTGGGTATTAAAAGGTCATAAATCAAATATCAGAGGGAACATGGTGTTAGGAAATGAAGAATGAAGATAACTCATTCAAACATTAAAACAAACTACATTGCATTATCTAGATATGACATTTCGTTAAAGCTCTTTTCTTGTACTTTCTTGTACATTTTAATTGCCATCTGTCCCTCTTTTGTAGTTATGGATTCCAACCCTTCATTTCATTTGTTTTGTAGCTTTTTGGTTGTTTTTTTATTGATGCATACCTATAATTATATTTCCATTGGAATGACAATAAATAATATAAACGAAAAAAATGGTTGAAAACTTACAACGGAAAAAAGAAATTTGATCAAAGGTGAGTTGTAAAAGTAATATATTTTCCTCATCCAATTAGGTGCAGATTGTAAAAATGTAGTATTGTTCTCCTGTTCTTTTGTACCCAACCTCTCCGATTGAGTGACTTTGTTTTTTGCTCTCTTGCCAGTTTTGTCTAACTTCAATATGTCCCATTTCAATATAGGGAGAAAAGTAACAGCAAAAACTATTGCCTATAAATATATATATATATATAAAAAAAACATAAATGGTTCAGTTCTAATTAATACTTTAGCAACAAGTTTTATAAGAAGAAACTTATTCAAATTTTTCGCTTCAAAATCTAAACGACTAAAGCTAACTTCATTATTCGTACACAAAAATGAAAATAACACCACGCCACTGGTTAAATTGTCATTGTCCAGGACGATTTAACCAATCACAACGTTTTGATGTACCTCGTGTATCTTGAAAAACAAAATAGTAGAATACAATATATACTGAAAATGAAAATTCATAATGATTAGACATAAGATGATAGAAAATACATAGCCCAAAATAACTCAATTCGGAATACTAAAATAGGAAATTACCAGAATAGAATTGTTGTCTCATAACTGTTTAAACAACCAATGTAATACACAAATGAAGCTAATTTGTGATGACAAACATTTTGTTTAAAAATAAAGAATTATTGATCAACTTAATAACACTTCCCTAAATGGTATTATGGCTTGATTTAACCAAATAATCAACAATTCTCTACTTATAATGACATATACCCAAGATAGATTACTAACATCTAATCTCATTATAATTCTCCTTTCTTTAATATTTAAGTTTAAACCAAGGCACTATATCCTCTTTTCGACAAAATGAACGCTTTTTGTTCCTATTATTAATGTTTATTTATTTGGCGGTGATGTTCCTTTTGTCCTTTGTATAACGATGTGAATATTTCCAAACTCGTTTACTAAACACCTGTCTATATGGACATTTTACATTTCAATGAACTTAGTCTATTTATACCTGTAAAATTATTACGTCAGGGATTTTGATATTATAGTGTTATTAAATGGCTGTTTCTTTATTGACTCTGGTATAGATTCTAGGTAAGTTGTATTGGCTCCTAAATCATATTAGCAACACATTCGGAAGTTTGCGCCAACAGATGCAAACCGCCCAACATAAGTTAGGTAATTTTACAGAAATGTTATTTAGAGCCACAAAAATAAATTTTGTGCATCCACTTTGAAATAATTAAAAATGTTAAATTGCGTGAAATAAAAAAAGGAAGATTTATTTTCAAGCCAACCATTTTTTTTAATCTAAAGTTACTATTTGAGTAACAGTGACAATTAACGTTTATCTATTCATTCAAGAACCGATAACTGTCTTCTGCGACTCCCTAGTTTCCAACTATTGAGAGTATAGTTCTATAAATCTAGCAATGAGACAAAGAAAACGAAAGTTATCATCCAATACCTCTTGTCTAAATCGATTTATTTTTAGTGATATAGGTCCTTATTATTGACCAATAGACCCCAAAATCAACAATGGTCAAATGAATTTCATTCTAGTCAGGCACACATACGGTCGAACAAACAGACCGACGCACCGAGCGATGACCATACGCTTCACAATGTAGAATCAAATTACTACAGTATACATTTGTCCTTAACAATTTCATTGATTCGTTTTCTAAATTTAAACTACACAGAAGTACCTGAAATGAATTCAGCAAGAGAATGCTCCCCTAAGTGTAGAAACTTTAATGTAATGCTCCATGATATTCGTACATAGTTCTTAAGAATCAACAGTTCGGAAGCAATACGTAAAACATTCAATGGATTCTTTAATGATCGATTTATCTGTTTTACCACAGCTTTTTAAAATTTACCTTTAAATTTGATGTTTCCCCTTTTATTTGACCCTTCCAAATTTTATTCAGCTTTGTTTGACATGCAGCATGTCCCATAAACTTCATCAATGTGAACTTTTCAGTTATTTCAAAAATCGTAGTTGAATTATATCTTTTCACTTCTGTCACCAACAGTTGGCGAGCGTGCTTTCTATCGTTTAAATATAACTCTGTCATCACACTGTATGCAAGGTCTTCGTAATGTCTAAAAAATATCATTACGAAATAAAGCATGAATACCATAATAACTGGCTTGCTGTAATTGCAGTGTTTATGTGCATGCATAGCACAAGTCTTAATTATAGTGCCCCTATTATAAACTCATCATAAATACCAGGATTAAAATTGTGTGTACGCCAGACGTGCTGTTTGTCGACAAAAGATTGGTCAGTGATACCTCAAACTATTTGCCAGTGTTTTAACACGATCATATCATCTATTTAAAAAGGCTAAATAAGAACACAATCAACAGAATTGTGTTGTTCTGAAACGTTCTTTTTAAAGATGTTTGCTTTCCGATTACATTTCAATTTAAAAAATAAAGCTTTTGTAACAGTATTCTTTAGTGTCTCTTCCCCACTAATTATGTTTTCGGTTGTTAGCACTAGGTCGATACTATTGCTGTCTGTCATATAAAAATAAGTAGATGTGGAAAGATTGCCAATAAGACAAATATCCACCAAAGTTCAAATGAAGTAGATGTGAGCAATTATAGGCAACCGTACGGCCTTCAACAATGTTTGAAATGATTTGTTTCATATTTTTCATGTCGTGGCCTATTATAGCCGACTAAACGGGATTGGGTTTTCTCATTGTTGAATGCCGTATGGTTGCCTATAACATGGTTCTTATCGTACATCCTCTATTATGTATAATGTTTATCGTTTTGCAACGGAAATATGCAAATCTGTGAAAACTTGAAAACAACACGTTTAATAATTTCATGCCTCCGAAGCGCTTTTCTGGATTTACCTTCATCAGGAACACTCAAAGCCAAACATTTGAAATCCGAGGGATGTATAAGTACCGAAACAGTTGAAGAGCTATATGACAAAAATACCTAGAACAAATAGCCAAATCCATCTAAGGTCAACTTTGCCTGAGGGAGTTGAAACCTTGGTTTCTTTATAAATTCAAAATTTATAAACGGGCAATTTTAGAAAAGTTTGTTATGAAATGACACGTATTGTTGGTTACATGAGACCTATGTAAAGTGTTTGATGTAAATTATATTCATAATGAAAAAAAATGTACAGTAATTTATGGCTTACCTAGAACTTTCCCATAAAGCAGTCTGTTCATCCATGAATGCTTCAGCGCTGGCGTTTTCAGCCAGCCTTTTAGCAAGTGAACTTGCAAATAATGCAGAACCTAGATGAGTCGTTTTAAAATACACACAGTTAGGAGCAGATAAAACATAATATAAATTAAATACAAATTAACGCCACGTCGAGTGTACATATTTCGTTTGTTTTCTTCAATGTTTTTTAGTTAATGCGCCATCACCAATTTTATGTTTACGCATGGACATCCGATAGAAGGCCGCGTGTGTCGTTTCGTCAGTAGGGGGTTTCGAAATTTTAGCTTGACGTTCTCTTAAAAGTAAACACACGTTTACTCTTCGTATTCACTAATTGGGAAAATTAAAAATAAACTACATTCTTTTGTTAAAGTTACTGTTGTTTGATAATTTGCATATATTACAATATACAACAACGGTTCATTTTCCATAACATTGAACACTATGATTCTCTCTTTTTTTTTTAGATTATTCATATATTGTAGTTCACAAATAGATACAATATCTCTTAACAGTAAAATATTTGCAGACATTATTTGAAAATACAGCAAGTTTGTATGTAAAAATAAGTTAATTTAGTGGTAAACATTCATATCAGCAGATGTGTTTGTCCACAGCTCACATAGAGTAAGTATCAATAAAATATAATAATAATAATATAAATGGAATAAAACCACTAATTCATAGTCCAATTTCTTTCTCTGTGAAATTCTGCAAATTCAAGCATTAATGCCTACGTTGTTTTAAGTTAAAAAAAAAAGTGGCAGCCATTTTATATCAAAAGTATACCTTATCCTGACTTGTGCTGAAAAATTCAAAATACTTTTAACAGCACATTAGAGCGTACTGGTTCCCAGAAGTTTGATGGTACAAAAACAAGTACTTATCACACTCTGTTTGCGAGTTTTGGTTCTCAACATTGTATATGAGTTTCAAAAAATTTGAATAAGTAAAACTTGAATTATAGTGCGGAAATGAAAAATGGAAAGGACAGAACGACGGACGATCAAAAGAACACTTAATGCCATCTTTGCCAAGCGGTGGTGGCATTAAAACACATTTTCTACCAGTACAGACGCAATTAGACAGTGCTTATTTGTTCCTATCAAACCTCAGTCAACAAAAAGATTATTATACAATGAATGTTTAATATAACACCTTTATGCTAGTATTTAATTTAGTCTAAAATTCATAAAAATTTCTCTTGGACACCCATTTGGATCCGCATTTATTATTCACTATGACTGTTAAAGACTGCTTTATATCCTTTTAATTACAGTAAAAAACTTACATATATAATCACCGTCTCTCTTCCAAAACAACATGGCCAAATCTCTGCGATTCATAAGCACTGCCCAGATAAACAGGTGCTTGAAAATATCATTTATACCTATCTCATCACCTGCAAAAGATCATCATCATCATCATGCAAACATTCAAAATGTGAATGCGAGAAGGAAAAATTCAAAGCAAGCTTGATGTAAAGTAAATCAGTTAAAAAAAAAGAAATTATTATTTATTGTCATTATGGCGAAATGATGTACAATGTAATTGTATTCTCCGTTTAGTCTCACCAGTTACAAAGCACATTTAAAAAAAATCAAAATCTAACGGTTCTTGTTATATTAGGAGCCCAATTGGATGACCTACAAACTGGTTTCAAACTATATCTGTGTCATAATGAATATTCATTTTTGCCTAAAACGGACGACTAATTGGTCAAAAATGACACTCTGGTGGAGAGTTTCCTCATTAGCAATTTACTCATTTCCTTATTTTTTTATATTGCATTTCAGGGAATTATCAACAAGAAAATGATACATGTAAATATTGGACATTTTATAGTTGATTTTGCATCAGCATTGTACAAGAAATAAACTCACGATGTTTATAGAATGTGGACAGTCGTCTATTTCAAACAAAAATGTTCTTATTTGCACAATAATTCGTTTCTCAAATCAATTCTCTCCTACGGTTGTTTTAAGATATATGTAGACATTCTATATGTTCATCTGCACTAACGACCTATCATAACTTGTCTGAGAAAAACGTGTTCCTTACTGATGTCTTATTTAAAAGCAGCAGATTCACGTCATGCTTATTATTTTTAAATTATCCATATCATTCGATATAGCTTAAGCTAATATTTTTTTTTGGCTGTGTGAAATATTTAAATCTTTTCTTCTAAAAAATTAACATACTTTATATTTAAACTTAATAAAAAAAACTTAATTTTTAGAGATAGTACGCTGAAAAGCTGAATTAAGTTGGATATTGCAATCTATGTTTTTTGAATATGGGACCTTCCGAGTTTGCAGAGCGTTTTTTATTTAAATAATTTTATAACAAAATATCTGTTCTTTTATGTCAAATTTAAATATCGTTTCATTTTCTCTTGTATTAGATATATGAAAAACATTAAAAAAAAAGTTATTGATATCCCTGTTTTGTTTTCCGGAATGTTTTAATCAACACATTAAATATGAAATCGCTATGTGCATTTGAATAGTAGTTATCCCCTTCAAAGTCTCTATTGACAGAGATGCATAATACAGGTACATGCACACATGTTCATGTGCAAGTTTAGCAAAGTGTTGAAAAGATATACGGTATACAAGAATCAGACACGATAAAATCTTCAATAAAATGACCTTTTAGAACTGTTTGACTCAAATTTGAATTATATATCGAGAAACATATTAACGAAATGTCCTCAGCCATGTCAATCGAAATAGGTTTGGTGATCACACATGGTAAATCTTGTGAAGGTTAATAAAAACATTAAATAGGCTATTGGGATATAAAAATCAATGAATGCAAATTTACCAAAAAAAAAAACCCAAAAAATATCTCTGCCATGACATTTGACATGTTGACATGTTGCTAGTGTATGATAGTTAATAAGGTTAATCACTTTCATAAAGATAACATTTCCATAGAAATAAGATTTGTAAAACTACGGATTTTCTTAATCATGTTAATGTTCGCAAATAACTGAATTTCCAGGATGAAACATTTTATGAATACACGAGAAAATAATGTTAACGTAGCAAGCTAAGAAGTCAGCACTTCTGTGTTGATATGAATTAAAATAATCATTGATTGACTGTTGAAAAAATTTGTTCAAAATTCTTAGGATTTTCTACCCTTTGAATGAAAATTTTGGGCCCTAAATGCAGTTCAACTTTGTACTTTATCTGACCTGTTTGCCTTTTTTTATTCGACCGTCACTAATGACTGGTTCATTTAAAGACGAAACACACGTCTGTTTGAATTTTAAGCCTGATATTTACGATAAGTTCATAAAAATACGGTTTTAATTTTTTAAACAATATATTTTACAACACAAATGAAAAAGATATTTTACAAAATCTGGAATGTGTGGGAGGAAGGGCTCAACTCAATTTTGAAGTGCAACTCATTGTTATCATTTACAAATGACCATTTGAATAATTGACATTAAAATGAGCTGTTAAAAATTACATAGCAACAGTAAAGTTTCGAGCTTGTTTGATGGAACTATCATTTACTATAAGAATGCAAATTTAAATAGTAAACTTAGTAGAAATGTTAAATAAGAGAGGAGAAAGATACCAGGGAGACATTCAAACTCTTAAGTCGAAAATAAACTGACAACACCATGGCTAAAAAAGAAAAAGACCAACGACAAAAAAATAGTACACAAATTACAACATAGAAAACTAAAGACTGAGCAACACGAACCCCACCAAAAACTGGGGGTGATCTAAGGTGCTCCGATAGAGTAGGCAGTTAAGTGATATATTATAAAACTTGAGGGATGATTTAAAGAAAACACATCGATAACAAATAAGAAGCAATCACGCAATTATTTCAAATTAAGGAAATACATATTAATGACATTCAACTCTTAATATTTCGACAATACCTTTCTCAAAGGGCTTCATTTCTTCGCTTCCGAGTATCTTTATCACAGCATCATTAATCATGTCCACAATTTTCTTTTGTTTAAGTGTATTATCCTTAAATATAATTAGTAATAATTTTAATCAAGAGCATATCTCAGATATCAGATGTTGCATCAAATTTAGATCTTTAAAAAATGGAGGTCCTTGTAGTTTTTATTGACCAATTGTATTATCTACATGATCTAATTGGTCTTTGTACAAATAACAAAAATTCCTTAAACAATTCGGTAAGAGTTTCTTCTACTTCTTTTTTCATGTTAAACCATTGCATATTCATCCAATGAATTCCATAGTTGTTTGGTGTTGGTAGGTTGTAGATTAAGGTTTATATTCTTATACGTTACATAGAAAAGTGTTGTTGACAATGTAAAGCTCACTCAGCTGTAGTAAAAATGAACGGGAATCTTGCACATACAAATGAGGATAAATATACCTGACGTCATACAAGTGAGAGGTTAAGCTGGCTATACAACCAGTTTTAATCCACCATTTTCTACATAAGAAAATGCCTGTACCAAGTCAGGAATAGTTCAGTTTTTTTTCCATTTGTTTGATGTGTTTGAGCATTTGATTTTGCCATTTGATTAGGGACTTTCCGTTTTGAATTTTCCTCGGAGTTCGGTATTTTTGTTATTTTACTTTTTAAACCGGCTGCAAGTCTTTTTTTTTTTAAAATCATAGTCGCAAACTGGGTAGTTCAGAATTAAAAGATTAATATTGATATAGCCTCCACACACGTATAAAGGTATATTTCTCTCAGTTTTTATATGATATTATAAATCTTGCGGTTACTATACATATTTAATTCAAAGAGTGTTGCTACTGACACGGAAGATTTTAAACTAACGATTCATCTTAGTAAAATTATTTATTTGTTCCTACATTCATATCAAGCACACAGCATACAGAAGTATTTTTTAGGGGGAATGAAAAATAGCAAGAATTATCCGCTATATAGATGATGTCCTCTTACTAAATAATAAACTGTTTGATGGCTGTGTTAAACGCATCTATCCCATCGAACTTGAAATAAAACATACAACTGATACGATTAAGTCTACTTTATATCTTGACTTAAATGAAGAAATTGATAATGACGGTCAATTGAGAACAAAACTTTACGACAAAAACAAAAACAAAACATTGTTTGTAGCTTCTCAGTTATTACTGTCCATTTCTATGTAGCAACATTCCAGCAGTGCTTGTATAGGACTTATATATCTTCCAATCGAAACGATATTCCAGAGCATGACTTTCTGTTATGATTTCTTTGGTAGATGGTTTCTACTTTAAATGAAGCTATTAAACTTCCAAGTCATGAAGTTATAGTCATCTCATCAATTATGTTAGGACGCAACCAGGAGTGTATATACATATTTAAAAAAGATGACAGAGTCGAAAGGAGAAGTGAATGTAGTTTCATACGGATGTGACGATAATCGAACTGCCACTGACTTTATAATATTCCTTTATTAAAACATAATGAAGTGGAAGCCATGTATGATAATGATGAACTTATAATCGCCTACATTGGGAAATGGAGTTGAAAATGTTCATCACATATATCGAGATATATATATATGAATGTACTGTTGTATGCCTTATTACATTTTGTTAAAGCAACTATAGAGTCTACATGTTGCTTGTATTTTCAATGTAGTGATGAAAATAATGTAAAACCCTTACCGATTAGAACAAGATATGTTTTGTTTTGAGTTTTACAGGAGATTTCTATTCTAAAGAAAAAAGTTCAACGATCTGAAGACAATCTGATTTTCATACTGTATCCACACTTAGCTTAAAAGGATCTGACAAGACACTGGTCTACTTTCTGTTCTGATAATACATTCGTCAGCAAAATATTTTTTTCTGCCTCTAATCATTTTATAGTAAGTAGAAAGAAGCCTTGTAAGATGGTTGTAAATGAAGCGTGGATACGTGATCTGTTTTGTATTCAGATTGCTAGTGTGACACTTACGTAATAAAAACAAAATCAAATATCGGATGGTGTTGTTATTTGTAGAACAATAATGTAATCATATAACTGTACCTTTAATTCTAGGAAAATATATTTTCCAAGGCAGCCGTTGGTCTGAAAGAAAAAAAATGACAATTGATATGAACATGATGAAAATGCATGGCAAATGCCGTATCCACTTACAGTAACAATCGTTGACTGTGGAACCGGTGTAAAATACTAATTGAAGGTCCTATGTATCACATGCAAAGTCATTATCAATGTTTTTTTTTAGTTTATTACATAATTACAAAAAATCTACTGGACCTTTCGTCGAAAGGGCATACTTGTAACAATTACTAATTAAGAATTCTTGTCTTTTGTGTACAATTTTAAAACTTTAAAATACACTTTAAATACATGTTCAAAGAATCAGTATGATAAAACGTTTAGTCCGATGTTAGATAATTTAAATTTAGGCAGTTTCAACATACTGACAATTAAGGATGTTCGCTACTTTTTTTTTACTTTTTGTCAGATATTTGGAATCCTCTAGATTTATCAATGTAGTGCCAAAAACAAATTTTGCTTGCTAACCCCTACGTTTCTTTTCATAATTTTATAACATATAGTTTAAAAAGACATTTTTAAAAATCTTATTAAATTCTTGTTATTTTTTCCTAGTTATTTTTAAAGAAATAAGGTGCCAATGTGAAATGTAAGAAAAATCTAGAGAAATTTATTTCCCGCCAAATTTTCAATTGGTTATATCTCAAAAACAAGGACACGGACATGTCATTTTTTTCCTTCTTTTTAAGTTGTGTTATTTGAATACTATCAATTTATAACAGTCTTTTGAAAAGTTTGTTATTTTTAAACAGAGGAGCGAACATTCTTAAGGTAAATTAAAATATTATTTCAATCACAGAAATATCCATGTACACATATTTTGAATATGATGATTGTTGCGGCTTACACAACAATAGTAGAAGTAAACAGGAATAAACATGTGTTTGCATGCATCATTCTTACAAATAAAATTGACAAACTTCAACATTTCATTATTTAGTGAAAACTCAAAAATGGGTCAAAACCATTATTATAATGATTTTACCCTTATTACAAGAACACACATTCGTCCTGTATAGTATTTGTGATTTAGCTTGAAATCTGTAGTCGTGATTACATAAACCGTAAATCCCATATCGTTTCTTTAAAAAAAAAAAAAAAACATTAACAAAAACATAGTTTTTTTCAAAATATAAAGAAAAGAAAATTCTGATAATATGCACAACATTGGTATGCGTACAGTATGAGTTTAATAGCTGATGTCAACTACATAAAGGTTTAGCAGGTTGATAATTGTCACATTGGCAATCATATCACTTGTTCTTATTATTATACTAATAGGAGTAGGCCACACATCAATGTCATTTTGTGCACGTTTGATTGGCCATCGGAAGGACAAACGGACAGATATACGGACCAATGGATCTGCAACCTGGTTTTTACATTTTTTATATGTTAAACCACAATCAGATGTGTCAATCTGACGAACAAACAAAGGACCAACATTTTTTGATAAGGGGTATGATTTCAGAGAAGTAGGGATTTCTATCAAAGGTCTAAATCTAAATTGTACTTTAGATTTTGACCTTGTCTCAATTTCTTGCCTATGTTAGAAAACTCCAAGTTTAAATCAGAAGACACTATGTCTCAATGAATAGTTGTGCATGAGTTACATGAAATAACCAATTATGCTCAATTAAGAAAAGAAAGAAAAAAAAAACACTCGTAAAAGAGAAAAGATACCAGAGAGACATTCAAACTCATAAGTCGAAAAAATAAACTGACAACGCCATGGCAAAAAAAGAAAAAGACCAACAGACAAACAATAGTACACAAAACACAACATAGAAAAATAAAGACTGAGTAACACGAACCCCGCATATAACTGAGGGTGATCTCAGGTGCTGCCGAAGGGTAAGCAGATCCTGTTCCACATGTGGAACCCGTCCGTAAGAAGTCCCATTTCGCTTCATCAAAAAGAGTTAAAGCCGTGAGAATATGATGTAACTTTTTGAAAAAAAATTAAGACTATAAGATTTTAAACATGTAGCAAAATATGGATAATATGTTAACAGATAACTCCCAAAAGAGATTGTTCAGGTACATACAAAGCAATGATGGCGAGGACGTATCATCTTTTCGATATAGTGGGGCTACGTTGGTGTCACTGTGGCAGCAGGAACTGCGTATCTTTTATGAGCACTTGTGTTTACACACGGTTTTTTATTACTCAATCAATATTTGTATGTGTAGTGATTTGTGGACTGTTGGTTTTCATTTTGGCGTTCTACTTTTAAGCCATTGCATTGTCTTTCTCTATATGTGTATTGCACGCTTAGATTTTTTCTCTTTTTTGCAGAAAAGATAAGAAATAAAAAAAAAAAAAAAAATGAAAATAAAAATACAGGAAAAACTCCAAACGATTACAAACTTGGCTTTACATTAATCATAATATTGATGAACATAATGATAATAACACGATGATAATGATAGCAATTTCAAAAGGTCTTTGTGTTGTATACTTGGACTGTGAACATCATCGAATACTGTTCAATCATTATCGAATCCGTAATCTGAAAATATCATTTAATCAACAAATGTTTAAATATATTCACATGTAAATGTTCTCAGCATGTGAAAAAGTTTTTGAGAAGATAGTATTCATTCAAACCTGAAAGATAATACGGTAATTCATTCAGATGACAATAATCACCAATCAACAGAGAGTTTATAATCAAATTGGAATTTATCAGTTCAATAAAGATTATTTGATTTCATTTACCGAATCGGCAACAAAATGTCATTAATATATAAATATTTGACACATGGCCGTGCTATGCGGCACATCTTTTTTGAGGTATACGCTCTACACTGGTTAGATATACAAGCATGTATAACATATACGTAAATTTTAACTTACCTCATATAAGCCTTCAAGTGAGTGATCTAAGAAAGTTTTATACAGTTCCTTGTCCAAAATATATTCGAGCACTTGCCTAACTAAATCAATCCTATCGTCCTTCAATGCATTGGTGAATAGCTTTGATAATTTGCTCTCTTTTATGCATAGTTTTTTCTATAAAAATATTACCAAATTTATTTTATGATTAACTATACAATGTAGAATGTATGTTGTTATGGACATAATTTACACATATATCGAATCAGATGGTCTAAACAATATAACGTACAAAAAAAAACCAATACCATTTACATTAAACAGAACATAATATGGTACAGATCGGTTTTGGGATATCTGTTGCATGAAAAAATAGTTTTAAAATAAAGAGAAGTGGTTATCCGAATAAATAACGTAGCTTTTAGCAAATATAGGTAACTGTATAGCCTTCAACAATGAGCAAACTCCATACCGTATAGTCAATTATACAAGGCCTGACATGACTAAATGTGAAACAATTAAAACAAAAACGTCAAAGGCTTGATCAGTGAAAGAACAATAAAAGAAACACATATATAACAGACAGCAACCAACAGCAATCACTGAGGTACAGACTCTTGACTCAGGTACATATATAATATGGTGGGGTTAAACATTTTGAGCGCTTAACCCTTTCCCTAACCTGGGACATTGGTGTAGCAGTATAGAATAGGAACAAAATGCAAAACTCTTTTGGAAAAATATAGACCTCTCAGATTGGTGCGAAGCACAAACACAAATAGCATGAATACAAAAGAGGGACGAAAGATTCCAGAGGGACAGTCAAACTCATAGATCGAAAACAAACTGACAACGCCATGGCCAAAAACAAAAAGACAAACAGACAAATAATAGTACAGATGACACAACATAGAAAACTAAAGACTAAGCAACACGAACCCCACCAAAAACTAGGGGTGATCTCAGGTGCTCCGGAAGGGTAAGCAGATCCTGCTCCACATGTGGCACCCGTCGTGTTGCTTATGTTATTACAAATCCGGTAAATAGTCTTATTCGGTAGGTCACATTCGTGAAAAAGTAAGGGTATTGTAGTTACGACATAAGGAACATATCCGATATCATCTGTGAAACGGTTATTCCATAACGGTCAACCAACTCGTGATGGCGTCCGTAAAATTTACGAAGGGATGATTTCAACGTCACCATTTGGAACTCTTGGTTAAATAGCTTCCTTGTGAGCAGCAATCCTTTATCAAGGAAATCATGATAGGAAATACAAGCCCGGGAATATCGTATCAATTGGGAGATATATACTCCGTATTCAGGCGGTGCTGGAATGTTGCTACATAGAAATGGAAAGTTCACAATTGGGAAGCTGAAATCATCTCTTTTGTCGTAAAGTTTTGTTTTCAACCGACCCTCATTTTCAATTTCTAGATGTAAGTCAAGATATGAGGCAGGCTTAACTGTATCTGTAGTATCCTCTATCTCTAGTTCGATGGTATAGATTCGTTCAACATTGTCACCAAATTTTGTATTATTTAGTGAGAGAACATCATCTATATAGCGGAATGTAAAGTTAAAGGATATTGCTAACTTCTTATCTTTCTTCCTAAGAAGTTCCTGTATGAAGTCAGCCCCAAGACAAGATACTTGTATCTACGTTTGCCATTCTTTTTAATGAAACAAAGTAATACCGACTCTTTCAATTTGTCGTTTAGTTTGGAATGGGGAACACTTGTGTAAAGTGTAGAAAAGTCAAATGTTTTAATACTATTGCAAGATGAGAGAGTCTTAGATTGTATGTACTCTAAAAGATCTTTGGAATTTTTTAGTATCCACATTTGATTCACGCCACCTCTAGAAAAGGCAGTTTCACAATAACTTTGGAGCCCGGCTTTGATTGCTAATAAAATAGATGTTAATAATTTTGAAAGAGGTTTCGTGGAGCACTTGGAAGACCCAGCAATATACCGTTGTTTGTAAGGACACTTATGTAGTTTAGGTATCCAATACAGTGATGGAAGATCCAGTTCTTCATCTTTGGTTGAAATTCCAAAGGAATATAGAACAGACCTATGATTATCCAGGATTTCCTCTTTAGTAAGTGTCGTGAGGGTATATGTTGAGTTTCCAAATGAATTGTCAATACCTAATTCATTTATCAAGCAGTTTATGTAATGATATTTACACACAAAAACAATGTTGTTTGGGGCTTTATCTGCGGGGACAACAACATATTTGTCATGGAGGTAGGACAAGTGTTTTGCAACACTTGGGTCTTAGAAAATTGACGTAGCGTGGGTATTGATAGAACCATTTAGTTTCTTAATTCGGATTTGTATCAACGACCTCACAGCCTTAAACCATTCGGAAAGAGTATCTACGTCTTCTTTCTCGCGTTTAGCCAATTGCCTGGCATAATCCTCGACTGAATCCATCAGTATTTTGAAGTTGTATTTCCAATTGATGGATTAAGGCTCACGATATTTCGGACCTTTGGATAACAAATTTCGCAGGAAAGTGTTATTGACAATGTTGAGGTCTCCGGTAATAACGTGGCCAGCCGGATTAAATGTGAGTTGGGAACTAGCACAGGTGCAATCAGGAGGTTTAGACTTGAAGTCGTCAATGTTGAGATCCTGCAAAACGTGTTTGTAATTGAAAATTATAGTTGAAATTGGTTTGGTATAGGTATAAGAAATTATTGATACAGACTGATCTTTAAAATAAGGAGGTATTTTCGACTGAACTAATTTATGATGAAGGATATTGCCTAAGTTGACGCCATCGAGACCTTTGTTGGCAAAGGAAAGTTTAAGAAAAGATCTTTTCTCTTTTTTCATTTTTTCCAAAAATATAAACCCTTCAGATTGGTACGAATCACAAACACAAATAGCATGAATACAAAAGACACAAAGCACCAATATCTGCGCTCTCATAACTTCGTTTGTGACTTTGAGACCATAATGCAAATTATAACTAAATTTTTACTTAACAAAACATCGCGACGCAGATTAAATCTAATTCAAAGATTTTCAAATTTTCTTCAACATCCTATCTAATCTCTATTTGATGACCTCTTGTAGCAAGGACAATCTCAGCTAGACTACACCACTTTTGTTAAGCTGTTAAGCTGTATTACTTTTGTAAAAACTGTTTTAGATCAAGCACTGTTGTTACAGCACAATTAAGTAGCATCAAAGTTGAGCCTTTGCTGAATCAATACCACTCTATTTGTCAGAGCGCAGAATCAGTCTAGCAGCAAGTAGTTTACAAAGAAGGAACATGATAGCTGAAATTTTATTGGCGAGGAATGGATAAAAATCAAATTGTTACAATTATATTTACCTGTAACTTTTCCAAAACTTTGCTGTTTTCTAATTTAAATATTTCCTTCTCTGTAATGTCAGGTCTGTTCCATAAATCAGCAAAATGTAATATGTTATCTGTGAGCTTGTCTTCATTCTTTTCGTCTAAAAGTGGTCAGTTTAGTATGTTACCATAATACGTTTTATATCTATTCAATGGCATTTAACATTTGAAAGAGTCTAAATTCGCAGGTTAAATATTTGTGGTTGATTGACATTAAATGAAATATTGTGCACCGACTTATTTCACTGTTTAAATAGTTTCTTTGGAAATGAACATGTCTTGTTGTGCATGTCCTTATTTTGTGTTCGTGTCAAAACCGAACCAAATAAAATAACAATGCGTATCATGTACCGAATTATATACGGACGCTGTTCAAATTGAGCATAACGATAAACACATCAATGGTAATGAATATTCTACTGGAATGTGTCTTCTTACTTCGATTTGAGTGACGATAGTGAACAACTTTTTATTTCCAGATGAATATCATTTACATCATAAACATCATAAACAAATGTGGTGGTTTTGTCGGTCCCTTTAATTTCACCATAAACGTATAATAAGTAATTCTACGACTACATATATTTTTAAAATGTTACCAAGGTAAATATTTTTTAGATCGGTGCATGATTTTAAATCAAAAGAAACCGCATTGGCATCCCCTTTAAGAACCAACAAAAAATTGAATAAAAATTCAACACAAAAAATACCGAACTTCAAGGAAAATTTAAAACGGAAAGTCCCTTAACAATTGGCAAAGTCAAAAGCTCAAACACATCAAAAGAATGGAAAACAACGGACTTGGTACAGGTATTTCCTTATGCAGAAAATGGTGGATTAGACCTGGTTTAATAACTGTACACAAATGCAGCTTTATTAAATGCAAAACAATCCGTCCTGAGAAGTCAAAACTATTGATTCAAAATACAGATTTAACATTAAAAAAAAAAGATAACTGTACACAATGTATATGCAAAAAACAATGCATACATATGACAGCAATAAAACAATTCATAGAAAAGACTTGATTAAACTCGTAATTGTATAGTTGTAGATAAAGTTATAATACGAATTGGATACTTCTTTCTTTAAAATTTTAGAATTTTAGGGTTATTAAAGCGTGGAATATGCCCACAGTTTGATTATGAAGAGTACTTGAATCAACTCTTTACTCTCAAATTAGATTACAAAAAAGTATCATTCAATTTTGAAATAAAAAATACATGACTGGACTGGCCAATCCGACTCTTATTAAAACTCAGCGTTTACAATGTATGGAGTCTCGTTTGTCAATATACTGTCAAAATTGTTGTGTTATTTTTTTTCCTATTGTGTTGTCTAGATATAAGAAGATGTGGTATGAGTGCCAATGAGACAACTCTCCATCCAAGTCACAATTTGTAAAAGTAAACCATTATAGGTCAAAGTACGGTCTTCAACACGGAGCCTTGGCTCACACCGAACAGCAAGCTATAAAGGGCCCCAAAAATTACAAGTGTAAAACCATTCAAACGGGAAAATCAACGGTCTAATCTATATAAAAAACGAGAAACGAGAAACACTTATGAACCACATCAACAAAACGACAACTAATGAACACCAGATTCCTGACTTAGGACAGGTGCAAACAAATGCAGCTGGTTTAAACGTTTTAATAGGTACCAACCTTCACCCTTATCTAAAACAATAGTGTAACATCACAACACAGAAAGACACACTATAAAATATTAATTGAAATGGCTTAACTCAATCAAATGTTATATTAACACAAGTGAACATACACTGAACGAATAAATTCGATCTATGCCAATGTAAATACAAAATCAATAAAGTAAAATAAGGGGTGAATAAATAAAGGCAAATGTAGTATACCGCTGTGAGATGTTAAACAATTTAAAAAAAAACAACAATAACATTGAACAAAAAGCCGCCAAATACAATAATATACACAGGTAAGTGAAAATAATTTTGTTGTAAGGTATACAGTTTAAATAGAGAACGGAAATATTTTTATACAAAAATAAATAATTTTGTTATTCATAGTACGAAGAAGTAAAAATTTATAGTCATACCAAACACTTATCAAAGCTGGTATATAGACGAGATATAACCCTGAATGCGTAAACATTAAATAACAAAAAAGCATAACAAATAGTATCAACAGGTCAAATTAACAAGAAAGTACGATTTGAGAGTACTTGCAGTTACTGACAGCTAGTTAAAAGCCAAAACAATTAATAATAAAAAATCATGCATCAGAGACTTAAATCAACGAAAACACATCCTTAATTCTAACCTGTTATTTCATTCCATTGATAGTATTTTATTTAAGCAGATATACTCTTTTGGTATTTATACATGAAATTTTGCATTGGAATTGATGTTTTTGATCATTTTTACTTATTAGTTTTATACAAAATGAGTGTGTACTGATCAAGATGATATAAGTTGATTTGGGTTGCAGATAAAACAAAAATTGTATGTAAATATATTGAATTTCGTATTAATAAAATGTATGTTTTCTTCCTAAAAACAATGTTGTAATATATGGGCATGTATTGTCACTTTGATAAGTGATGTAAACAGTTCTTTAAGAATGTATGCTAATAAGATAATCAAACCTAAGTAAAATACGTCAAATAATATATCCTGAATTGTTCTGTCTAAGGTGTATGCTGTTTCATGTACAGAGTACACATGAATCTGAAAATAATAAATAAAATTTCTAATGATAAAAAACAGTTTTCTGTATTTTTGCTATGTTATAAAGCAACATTGCCTCCTTTTAATTACTGATCGCGTCATTAGTATCATAACCTTTTTTTATTCTGCAATTTAAATACAATTTATAGCCTCTTCTTTTTTCAATTAACAAGAAAGCAGATAAATAAACCTATAGATAAATTCGTCATAGATACCAGGCTTATAACTGTGTACACCAGACAAGCGTTTCTTCTACAAAAGACTCATCAGTAAAACTCGAATCAAGATACATTTGTAGTTAAAAAGGTCAAATAAAGTACATGGCTGAATAGCATAGCGGACCCGAAATTACGAAACGTTTTGCCCAATACAGCTAAGGTTATCTATTCCGGAGGTAGAAAACCTCAACATGCTGAAGTATTTTCAAGAATTCTAAATTAATACCTACTACCATAACAAATGCTTAAATCCTATTTAATGTCAAAAAATTATTTTTCCAGTAGAGAGTAATTGATTGCTTCTTAAAATTTGAAATGGTGATTATTCAAATGTAATAAATATGAAGAAGCTTGCAGAACTTGAATAAGCCAACATTTAAAAGCATGTGTTTTGATTTCCTTTAAAATGTGTATATAATTTATGCAAACACAGCCAATATTGGAATTTTAATTTTTAAGTCGGGACAAATTGTTTTGAGATGAAACATTATTTAAAAATCCGTTCTTTTGAAATAACCAAAATACAGTTTTTTAATGAAATTAAAGAGCAGTTGAAACCTAGGTTCCATTTTAAAAGTAACCAAATTGTTATTCATGCACATGCTAATGGAAAAGGTCATGTTTTAAGATATTATCTTTAATGTGTTTTTAGCGGACATACTTGATCAATATATAATGCATACCGATTTCGAATTTCCCGCCATTTCATCCTGTAGTTGCGTTATTAACTCCTCACATTTAGTTTGTATTGTATTCGACTCTTCATCATTTGAACCATAAAGCATTTTTGCTGCTTCTATCAATTCAGATTTAAATTCCTTACTATAAATATACCAAAGACATAGTGATGATGGATATATTCTTATGAATAAACATGTACATCATATATAAAGACAACATTTGTTTAGTTTAGGATTCATCAAATCTTATACCTTCTACAGTTAAACATGTTTCGATCGCTTAACCCGTATTGTATCCAGGACAGGGATTTAATAGCACAATAAACGAACAAGCCAAGCTGTAAGAATCGGTTGCAACTAGCTTGAGACATCAGATTGATATAAAGCACAGAAAAATGACCTACAAAGTTACGAAAAGCAAAGAATACCCATAAAAGATTAACTCACAGTTAATCCCAGTTACGGAACATAAGTTTAAAGCCAATTTCTTCTTATAAATAAATCACTAACCTGCTGTTATTCATACCCATTCTGAATCCCTTACATATAAAGTCTGCCGCTTTCCCAGACCCATCTATGACCAAAACAGGAAAACTCCTTTTTAAATTCTCCATAGCGGCTTCGAACGAGCCTTCCTCGCCACCAACAAGCATAACTATCAACGGGATCTCTAAGTGTTCTATTGTCAAAAATAAATGACATGTACTTTAACAATTAGTTTACTTCTTTTAATTCAATGATAAACTGTTATAAGCATATATCTGTTTTCCGATTTTGCAAGATGTACATTTGCCAGCAGTAGATCTTGCAAACATAAATTGTCTTATTAAGTTTTGGTGTTTAATGTCACTTTCAGCATTATTGGTTATTTCGTGGTGGAGGAAGACGTGGTGCCCGGACGTATTTCCGACCTTTGGCAGGAAAACTAGCTTTTTTATACATTTATGTTAAAATTTAGTGATCAATGTTTGTCATGTTAAAAACAATATTGAATCTTCGTATTAAATATGTTACAGTGTTAAACTGATAGCCTTCAAGAATAGAATTATTTATCGGATCGACAAGTTTACGCAGATTTTCATATCTAACTGACTGTTTGGCTTTAGTTGGTAGTACTTCTCTTGTGTAAATAGAATACGTGTGAACAGTTCTAATTGTAATTAATGACTACTTGATTGTATATGTACAATAACGCAATAAATGCATTGACATTACAAAGGTAACGTTAGTTACAATGACTTAACTAATAGCGGCAAATCCTCGACACTGATGGTGCCGAGAAGTGAAAATGATAAAAATTCTTTATAAATACATAGATATCGCAAATATTCACAGTTAAACTTAAGGTCAGTGTATGTAGAAAATAAATATCACTAGGAAAATTAAAATCCGTATAAGTATGAAATTAAGACATCAATTGGCGAATCTTTTCCCTGGTGTCCTACTTTGATTTACGTTCTTTGGTGTCAAATGTTGATTGAAACAAATCGCAAGAAACCTCTGTCGGATATACCTTTGAAATTGGACGATTTGTATGTCCATTGTTTGTACGCAAGTTCACTGCTCTAACGAGTCCATCCTTGCCAACCAATTGTTTATCTACAATGGTTAGCTTCCAATTAATTCTAGGCAAATCTTCATGTATTTGAACCACATCACCAATTTTGTCTAAAAGTCGTGTGGTATTCTCTTAATGATGTAAGATATTCATTCTTCCATCTTCGCCTAAAATGTTGAATAATGTTATGCTGATCCTGTAGACGTTGATCCAAGTTGTTATGTGTATTTGGTTCAAATTCAATCAAATTGTTCATGTGTGTAGACGGATACGGTAAACACCTTATTCTCCGGCCCGAAGAAGATGAGAAGGTGTCAATGGTTCAGGTTCGTTGACATCTGATGTAACGTACGTGATTGGTCGGTCGTTCAATGTAGATTCAATCTCAGTGATGACTGTCTGTAATGTTTCCATGCGTATACCTTTACAAGATTTACTCTCTAATACTTTTTTTTAAAGTTGTGTTGATTAGTCTGATCATACGCTCCAAGAATCATTCGTACCAAGGTGCTCCTGTTGGAATAAATACCATCCTGTTCCTTGATTTTGTTATTTTTCTTGTAAAGATTGCGAATTCATTATCTGTTGAATATCAGTACTGGTGGCTATACAGGTTGATGCATTGTCTGAAATCATTGTTTTTGGTAACTATCTACGACTTACAAATCTTCTGAATGCTAAAATAAAAGACTCCTCTGTCAAGTCTGAAACGATCTCTAAATGTACGGCTCTAGTAGAGGCGCAAGTAAATAAACAGATGTAAACTTTAGCTGTTAAATTATCGGAATTATTTTACATAAAGTGGTCCTGCAAAGTCTATGCCTGTCACGGTAAACGGAAATGTACATTGAACTCTATCTTAAGCTAGTGGTGGCGGGTCCGGTTTTGATAAGCCTTCCGGCACATAGGCTTATCAAAAACCGGACCCGCTATCACTACCTTGTTAATTCTGCCTCCGCATCTCCAAATGTGCTGGTCGTCTTTACAAAGTTTCAACTGTTTAAATATTGACGGACTTTTAGTCGAATTGATGTGATGAAATGAATTATCCTGAGTGCTCTTGATCCATAATAATGTTGAATGGTTAATTTCCTCTACCGTTAGTGCTGATGTTTTCCTTTAATTCTTTTGAAGTTTGCAATGCTGGATAAATCTAAGAATATTTGCGGTAATTCTTAGAAGTCTCCTTAAACTACTGAAATGGTCTAAATCACTAATCCGGTGAAGTCTCGATTCTTCATTCTGATTCTGTGTTGATGTGAGTAATGACAAAATTGTCATATTCAGCATTTGTTAGCAATGCCATTTTGTTTCCGTTCCATATCGGCCATTCAGTTTCGTTGATAATCCAATTTGGTCCCTGTGTCCATAATTCGTTGTTCAGAAATTTATCTGTAGGTGTAGATGTACCTCTTGTTTGTAAATTTGCAGGGTTCATGTTCGTCGGGCAATATTTCGACTATGCATTTTGACTAGCATCGGTCAATACATGTAGTTTCCTTAACTTGGTGTTGATATTTACAGATGATTCATTGGTGAAATAAAATCTCGGTACTTCAAGTGTGACTGCTTTTGTTAATTCTCCAATAAAGCGTACCATTTACTCTTTATATCATCTGGTAAGAGCTCATCACAGTCAAATTTCCTCTCCCATATAGTCTGCATCAAAATCGTAGCTCGCACGATGATTTGGCATAATACTCATAACGGGTCAAATATCCTTGACGACTGTTGAATAATGTACCTCTTGGTAACAGATTTCTCGTTATCAATTGTAATACTGTTTTGAAACGATATAGTGTCAGTTTCAGTGTTCCCTCGAAGTCCCAAAATGTTAAAAGTTTTGTCCTTGTCCATGCAATCCTCAGACTCTGCTATATTGCGTAGTTTCATATTATTTGATGTCCAAGACTTAAGATTAAATCCTCCTTTGGATAAAAGTTGACGTGATTCTTTATAAAACAATAGTAAATTTTCCTCGCTATGAAAGCTCGACAAAACGTTGTCCACATACAAGTTTCTCTTCAATACTCTAGCAGTATCTGACAAATTATTTTTCAGATGTTTCATGAATGTGGCATTCAACATGAATAAAGAACAAGTTGTTCCAAATAGAACTACTCGGAAACGATAGGTGAGTAGTGGACTAGTAGGGTCGCTCGGATCGCTCAACCAAAGAAATCTTGTTACTTCTCGGTCTTCTTCGTCTAATTGAATCTGTAAAAACGTCTTCTCGATATCCGTTGTTTCTGCGAAATTGTGTAGTCTAAATCTTGTGATAATTCCTGTCAAATCATTTATAAGTGGTGGTACTGACATGAGTCAATCATTCAAGCTGGCTGTGTCTGGTGATTCTCTACAGCTACAATCGTAAACTATGCGTATGGGGTTGTTGTTGAGTCGTTTTTAACAGCATGATGTGGAATGTTATCAATTCTTGTACCTCTGTCGGTTTCCTCATTAACCTTCTCATCAAATCCACGCTTTTCTTGATCTTTAATTATACTTCCGTATATTTTCAGCATGTCTTGGTCCTTACTGAGCTTGTTTATTAAATTTTCATTACGATGTTTTGTTATATTGTAGTTAGTTCATAAGTCCTGAAAATCGTCTTTCCACGGTAATTTGGCAATATATCGATTATCTTTGTACATAATACTAGATTTCTGATATGTTTCATAAAAATCTCTGTCTGTCTGTGTTGACTCATCGTCTGCTCTATCTCCCATGGATTTCAGCTTCCAAAACTCTCTAAAGCAATCTCCTCTTTCTTATGCTGCACCAAAATATTCATCATTGCTGCTGCAACTGTATTACCTGTTGTGTTGATCATTGGTCCTGATAATAAATATCCAATTTTTGATTTCACAGCTGTTGAACCATTTCCGCGGATTATATTGTTTTCCACAATGTCCCAATAGTGTTCTGCGCCTATTAACAAAGAAATCTCAAATTTATCTTCTTCACATACGGGGTGTGCTTATCTTAAACCTTGTAAATAAGGAAGTTTAGATGCTTCGTAATTCATTCGATTCTCTAAAGGGGTAGCTATTGTGGGTACAATAAACACTTCCATTGGTGTATTTTTCCTTGTTGGGTTTCCAACTCAATAACCGCTTTATCAAGGTTACGTACGTTCCTGTTTGCGTCTCCAAATGCAGCTAGACTGACTGTGGTGGTTTCCTTTGGTGTAATTTGTAATTTTGTGGCTGAATATTCGGAAATGAAAGATTTCTGTGAACCTTCGTCTAGCAGTATATTTGCAGCTACGGTCTGGTTTCCTGTCCAAACTGGTGAAACTGCTGTTTTCAGTAGTACATCAGCTCTAGATTGCATGGGCAATGTTGACGAAGTGTAAAATATAGATGCGTTACTATTTCCCTCTTCGATATCGACTGTATTTACAGATGCAGTTGTCTGCTCATCGTGTAATGTTGCTTTGTCTTTATTACATAGGCTTGTGTGCTGTTTGTTATTACATTTACGGCATTTAAATTTAGAACGGCATTCTGAAATTTTTAGATTTCCGAGACAATTGAAACAAAGGTTTTTCTGTTAACAATGGTAAAGTGTTTTTCATAGTTTACAATGTTTGTACAATCTACTGACGAATGCGACTGTTTGCAATATACACATGGTTTAGCTGTCAAGCGTGTATTCATGGTCTTGCTCTGATTGCCCCAAAATTGTTGTTTATTTGTGATTGTCTTAGGTACGGCTCCCGTGTGAAAAGACGCAGCTGATGTCATATTATCGGACATATTAACATTACAAGCCTCTTGTACATACATCTTCTTTGATAAAGCTTCACGCAGCGATATTATATCCCGGCTATTTTTTCCGTGTCCCCGTGTTAAGTTTTTCCTCATTTCTGCTGGTAGTTTCCCGAAAACAATGGGTACAAGAAGAGATCCATATGTATCTTGCGTCTGACTGAGGGATTCAAGTCCCCTGTTCGCTTCCAATCTGTCATAAAATGACTTAATACATCTTAGGGTAAATGAAGGACTTGGTAAATCAAGAAGATTTTGCGCTGATAATTTTCTGTTGTTGTCTGTAACGCTCCTTTAGTAAATTACTTGCTTGGTCATAGTTTGGGTTGGTGAGGGCTAACCCTGTAATACATTGTTCTGCTTCGTATTGGAGTTGTGAATTTAGATAACTAAACTTTTGTATGTTTGTAAGGGCAAGGTTCTGGTGAGCGGTTGATTCAAACGAATCCCAAAATGTCTGCCAGTGTAAAATATCCCCCGAAAATGAAGGCAAGTACAATTTTGGTAGTCTGTGATCGAAATTCGGAGAAGGGTTATAACTTGCGTTTGCTCCGTGATTGACAAAAGTGTTTTAAAGAGCATCCTGTGTCTGATTTGTGTTGTGATTAATATTGCTAGTTGTTGGAAATGTTGAGATATGTGCTGCTGGACCTTGATTTAAAAAATCACTCACCGTAGGTTTAAGAACGCTAGCCCCTGAGTTTGATATTACGTCCTATTATTTATTTATTTGTGAATTGACATTCTAAATGTAAATTGTATTCGTCACTATCCAATATTTCCTGTTCCATATCTCCGACTTCTGTTCCATCTAAAATCTGTGTCCAAAGTTTCAAGTAAGTTCCTCTTCTTCATCAGTGTTTTTGATTTTCGATGTCATTTTCCGAAATTTTGTCGTTAGTCCTATTTATTAGTCTTGTGACAGCGCTTCTGTGTCCACCACGAATTGCTTTCAGCTTCTCCATGAGTCACGGCACCAATGCGTGGCTTTAGCTGTTTAGTTGGTAGTACTTCGCTTGTGTAAATAGAATACGTGTGAACAGTTCTAATTGTATTTAATAACTACTTGTTTGTATATGTACAATAAATAACGCCATAAACGAGTTGGCGTTACACAGGTAACGTTAGTTACAGTGCGTTAAATAATAGCGGCAAATCCTTGACACTGACGACCTCTATAAACAACATCACCGTAAAAGTAAGGATAGGATATCCCTTTTGTAATAAGTTGTCCAAAGCCAAACTCTTGATATAATTCACTTTACCTAATAAAGAATTTACTAGAGGTTTTAAGCAATTTATGGAGAAACCCCCCGGAGAAAAAAATTCCCAGACTTTTTTAATTTACCAATGATTTATATATTACGATCGTGGAAATCAATAACGTCACTGCAGACACGTGCTAACAAACTGATTGGCATATGTAACATGTATAAACACCATAAACTCTTCGAATCGTGTAAATCTTCATTTAATGTATATAAGTAATGCATAAAGCAACACAAATATGTTAAGGACGACACTAGATTAAATGATGGGTGTTTTGCTTTGTTTTTATATAAGCACTCCTGTGGACTTACCTTCACCATGAACGCTAAAAGCCGAATAGTTGAAAGACCAGGATGTTAAAGCATCGATAACAGTTGACGAGCTGTACATTGTATTACCAAAAGGGACATTTAAATAATAGCAAAATTAATCTAAGGTCCAATTTGCCTGAGGGAGTTGTAGCCTTGGTTTCCTTATAATTTTAAGATATGAAAACGAACAATTTAAGAACGGGTCGTTATAAATCATATCAGTACTAAAGTAATGACTATTGAGCTGATGGTACCCTCGGATACTGATAGCGGTGTCGGCTCAGTGCGTTTAAATGCATACAATACTGAATAAATGAATGCTCATAGCCTAATATTTTAAAACCAATGATGTATAAGAACCGAAACAATTGAAGAGCTGTATTACCGAAAAGGACCTACATAAAAATAATAGCGAAATCAATTTCAATTTCTTAAGGATTTGAAAAATTTTTAAAAGGACAAATAAAAAAAAAGCTTTGTAACAAATCAGATCAGTACCGACTAAAACTTCGCTTTAACTCAAGAGTAACATATTGTGTGTAATCGAAGTAGTACAATCATTCAAAGTAATGCTTGTTAGTGCTTATCTAATTGTTAAATTTTTTTTTTTACTTTCTATCTGCATTTAAACATGCTCAAGTCAAACGTTAAAGAAAAACAAAAATGATCGATGTTGTTTTAAACGGTATATAATGATAACTCACAAGATTATCGAACAAAACATATTTAAAATACCATTGGTACTTTAAACAGATAATATACAAATCTTCAAAACAAATTGTAAGTCAACATAATTCCCTCATCTTACCACTTCACTATCAGAACATCAAAATTGCATCGTTCCTATCATATTGAAGTAGTATACACATAATTTATTACTGGATCCCATTTCATATTTGCAGTTTTACTGTTGAAATGTTTTCATTACTAAAAGTCATGGCATTTGTGAAGTTTCTACTTATAAAAATATCGTCATGTTCATGAATTCATTTTTTCAGTAATTTCTACATTTACACATTTCATGTGTTTGCATTCATTTATTGATATCTTTCATCGATTAGAAGTTGCAAGTGTCGAAAGCTAACTTAAACAATTTTTCGTTCCCTATTGTTAAATTTCCTTATTTTTACGGTGATGTTCCTTTAGCACCATCTTATGGTGTTTACATATCACAACTCGTTCTCTATGCCCGTGTCTGTTGTGACATTTTGGAATTAATTGAAAGCAAACTAAATATTTATTGTATATACATACCGGGTATGTACTTTGGCTCTACAATCTGTCGATACCTATGTCTTGGCATTGTACAAGGTCTAGGTTTTTCTCTGACTGTTAATGACGTCTTTACGCTAAATCCATTGGATGTTGGATGTGTACTGATTGATATTTTTGTCTTAAATGCATGTTTATTTATTAGTTGTTATTGGCTTTGAACTAGCTGTCAGTAACTGCGAGTACTCTCAGATCTGTATAATGTGGCTTTTTGTTGTGGGGATGTATAAGTACCCTGCAACGTCCATTCTGTCTTTTTATTAGGTGTGTTTATCTTTGTGTCCATCTGATGAGTGAAGCCTTTTTCAACTAATCTTTATAGTTTTATTTTATGTTGTTCTGTTACACCAACTGTCCTAGGTTAGGGGAAGGTTGGCGCCTTCAAACATGTTAAACCTCAATACATTCTGTATGTGCATGTCCAAAGTCAGGAGCCTATAATTCAGTGGTTGTCGTTTTTTGCTGTGAAACATATTTGTTTTACGTTCATTGTTTTGTACATAAATAAGGCCGTTAGTTTTCTCATTTGAATTGTTTTACATTTGTCATTTTGGGGCTTTTTATAGCTGACTATGCGGTATAGGTTTTAGTCATTATTGAGGGCCGTACGGTGACCTATAGTTGTTAATGTCTGTGTCATTTTGTCTCTTGTGGAGAGTTGTCTCGCTGGCAATCATACCACATCTCCTTATTTTTATATTAAATAAATGTTGCCTTACCTTTAATGCAAACTTCTAGGTTACCTTTGTGTGGTTGAAGTATTGTGATTCCATTATTGTTACTAGTTCGTGCCTACAAATTTTGAATTAATGCGTTCATTAATGAATATACTAAAAATGTCTAATATGACTCCAATGTGTGTAGCCAATCTATAACTAGGTAAACTAACAATAAGTTTCATTATGGTGAATACGCTCGTGACAAAGCAAATCAAGAACACACACAAATAACTATTACGAACTAAAGTCCTCTTAAAAAGACAATAGTCTATGCAATATGTCCTACCTCGCCGTAAGTCTTTAAACGTTGTTAAACTTCGAACAGGGACCATCAATGGTCTGCTACTAACATAAATATATTTTAAGATATAAATAGAAAATTCAATTAAAAGGTTTCTAACTTGAGACAGATCCCTTTATATTATCAAATCTTATTCAAAACCGGACTTCAAAGTTTTTGTGAAACTACATAATCGAGAGGTGGCCTGAATCAGATGTACAGTAGATCTTTTAGAGTACATACAATCTTAGATTCTTTCATCTTGCAATAGTATTAGAACATTTGACTTTATTGCACTTTACACAAGTATTCCCCATTCCAAACTATAAGACATATTGAAAGAGTTGGTCCTGGTTTGTTTCATAAAAAGAATGTTCAATGTAGATACAACTATCTTGTTTTAAGGAGGAATATAAATCATACTTTGTAAAAATTTTATCAGGTTCAAACAAAAAATTCTCTGAAACTGACATAATTAAGATGCCTGATTTCTTAGTTTAGAACATATTTGTTACGTTTGGAGGACGTGTTTTTCAACAAACAATCATCGGCATTCCCATGTTAACCAACTGTGATGCTCTTCTTGCCGACTTGATTCTTTATTTAAATGAGGCTGACTTCATACAGGAATTTCGTAGGAAGAAAACAAAGAAGATAGCAGTATCCTTCAACTTCACTTTCCGCTATATAGATGATGTTCTCTCAAAAACTAATTAAAATTTGGTGACTATTTCGAACTCATTTATCCCATCGAACTTGAGATAAAGGATACAACAGATACTGTTAAGTCTGCCTCATATCTTGACTTACAACAAAATTATTTTTATAATTACATGTGTACGTTATTTTATTTGGCGGCATTTTGTCCAAGGTTATGGTTGTCTTTCTAATATTGTTTTAAATCTAACCCCCTTGTTTTATTAATTTTGTATTTACATTGTGTCATAGATCAAATTTATTCGTTCAGTGTATGTTCACTTGTTTTTGTTAATATGTCTTTTGATAGAGTTAAGCCATTTCAATTGATATTTTTATAGTGTGTCTTTCTATGTTGTTTTATAGTGTGTCTTTCTATGTTGTGATGTTACACTATTGTTTCAGGCAGGGTGAAGGTTTGCGCCTATTAAAACGTTTAAAATCGCTGCATTTGCTTGCACCTGTCCTAAGTCAGGAACTTGATGTTCAGTGGTTGTCGTTTGTTGATGTGGTTCATAAGTGTTTCTCGTTTCTCGTTTTTTATATAGATTAGACCGTTGGTTTTCCTGTTTGAATAGTTTTACACTGGGCCCTTTATAGCTTGCTGTTCGGTGTGAGCCAAGGCTCCGTGTTGAAGGCCGTACTTTGACCTATAATGGTTTTTTTTTACAAATTGTGACTTGGATGGAGAGTTGTCTCATTGGCACTCATACCACATCTCCTTATATCTATTAACATCTAGAAATTAATAATGAGGGTCTCTTGAAAACAAAACTTTAGGACAAAGAGATGATTTCAGCTTCCCAATTGTGAATTTTATTTTTATGTCGCAACATCCCAGCAGCACCTACATACGGAGTTTATATCTCCCAGTTGATACGATATTACATGGCTTGTATTTCCTATCATGATTTCCTTGATAGAGGGTTACTGCTCACAAGGAAGCAATCAATCAAAGAGTTCCGATTTGAAAAGTTGAAATCCTCCCTTTGTACATTTTAGGGATGCCATCACCAGTTTGTTGACCGTTATGGAATATCTGTTTCACAGATGACGACGAATATTTTCAAATTGTCATTACAATCCCGTCCCCGTTTCCCCGATTGTGACAAACCGAACTAGATTTATCTCCAATTTCTACTTACACGACACCCTGAGTCTTTAGTTTTCTATGCTGTGAGTGTGTACTTTTTGTGAACTGTTTTTTGTTTGTTGGTCTTTTTCGTTTTTAGCCATGGCGTTTTCAGTTAATTGTATTATTACGAGTTTGAATGTCCCTTTGTTATCTTTCGCCTCACTTTTAAAATCTTTTTTACATTATTTGTACTCTATTGAATACATGCATTTCATTTCACGAATGATTTGGCCTTCAAATGGCAACAAATTCAAAACATAGTTCTAACTACTAGTATCGTCCCATGATGATCACATCTAGATGTAATTTTCTCCCGACATTTGCAGTTGGAATATAGAAATTGCTAATTATTTGATGAACTATAGAAGATTTAAAGTAAGTAATGGGAAATGAATTGACTATTTTTAGAAATATTTACACACAATATTTGATTCTGACGAATTTTCAGTTGAAATAATGATAAAGGCAAGAATAAGTACATGTAATAACTGTTTTCACAATATTTTAGTCTGTTTTGAAAGTAATTCTAGTGTGTTTTAAAAACAATATTAGTATGTTTTATAAGCTACTCTAGTGTGTATTGAAAAATATAACTAAATCTTTAGTGTCTTTCAAATGTCCCTTACAATATCATCCTTATGGAAACAACAGGATTGACTTTTGTCTGTGTTTTCTCGAATCACTTCTTCAACAATCTGCCCAATGCAGGTATCTTGTCCTTCAGTTATTATCCATATATCTGAAAGAAACCAAATAATGATGATTATAATAGTACTGAAATAATTATATAGTTATTTTTATGTTAATTAAGACCGTAAGTGTTGAAAAGAAAATCACACGATTAATCCCATATATATAAATTCGTTCAATATAGTCTTGCGTTTGATTTGTAAACTAACACAATAAAAGCACTGTTTTTTTTTTAATTCAAACTAAATACAGCACGCCATACTCATTTTCTCAAGTGTATGAACAGAGTTTATTTTTGTTTCTCAAATGAATGAGTGAATCGAATTGAGATTTGAAGTGACATATTATATACACAGTCAAAGAAAGAAAATGAATAATACAAAATGTTTGCTTACATGTTGTATTCATTAATTCAAGCAGACCACTTTTAAGTTGAGTTTTAATCGTCTCATTAGGCAGATACTTTTTAGCCTCTCCTATGATAGACAGAACTGCAACTGGTTTTTCTTTTTCCCAGTTTTCCAATGGCTGTTTGGTTTTCGTTACCTTGAGCAATCGATCACACTAAAAAAAAAGAAAATTATTTTCTATCTTATAAAACTGACTATAATTACTAACACTATCCATTTGTCAAAATAAAGCTTTAACTTCACGTTCTATTTGAGGCTAGCAATGACTGTCAACCAATACGATGTGTGTGTGTATCGCATTAAGAGATACTATTTTACTTAGTTCTTGAGATACAAAAAATCGTCTAATAATACGGTATTCAATGCTATAAATTGTGTTCTTCTCCAAGAAATGGTAATTTATGCTATAAATTGTTTTCTTCTCCAAGATACGGTAATCTATGCTATAAATTGTGTTCTTCTCCAAGATACAGTAATCTATGCTATAAACTGTGTTCTTCTCCAAGATATTATCTATTTTTCAATTCTGTTAGGTTTCGAACGAACAACTGTTCGTCCATTATAGCATGCTACGATCTCTGCACGTTAAGAAGTCCTGCAACAACTCTTTGAGGGGTCCTTAAATGGCCTGTTGACAAGCTTAATTTCTTTTCCTATCCAATATGCCTTAATTTTTCAATGGCATTCTAAATGTCCAGCCTGCCCATTATCCCAGTCGAACCTCTATTGAAAAACTTTCCTATTGCTTTCATTGTTTAGAGAAATTTCTGTTAACATCAGCCATTCACATAAGGGTTTGCATATTTCTAATTGATTAATGAGTTCAAAATTTGGGATATTAAGTGTTGTTTCTTTTTCGAAACATATCTGAATACCTGCCAAATGTTTTAATTATTAAATTAAAACCGCGAAATAAAACCTGACATGCAATGGAAACATATTGCTTGAATCAGTAGTTGATTTCACATTCTCATGATAGGCATGTTCAACCAATCAACTTTCATTTTTCCTATTCAGTTTCTTAAATTTGCAAACAGTTATACTTTCTACATTTGTTTTGTGCACAACAAACAATTATTTTGGTCCAACGTGATTGTTATGAGTCACAAATCTGATTAGAACACAGAATGAGCAAACATTTCTTTCAGATTTTACAATTGAAAATAGACTGATAGCTAGATAGATACATACATTATATAGAAATAAAAAAAGAAAGAAAGAAAAAAAAGAAAGAAAGAAAAAAAAAAAAAAAAAGAGACAAAGAAAGATAGGAAGACCAAACAAATATTTACAAAGATTCACTCAAAATTTATTTATCTACTATTCACTAGTTTTCACTGGTATTGTATATACAATTATTTAGCCTTCTAATCAGGAAAATATCGTATTTTGAATTAGAACATAAAGTAAAACATCTTTTAGAAACATATATGAACCTCAATAGATGAATGCATTTCGAAGAGTTAAGGTTCTTCATGGAAGTTAATTCTGATCAATATATATCACAAAACTATCAAATTGTACTTTTGATAGATACCGTTTCTTCATATGTCGCGGTTTGGTTCTGTGAAACATAATCACATCGTTCGTGTCTTTAGGAATGGAATAGTCTGAGAAATGACTTAAATAAGCTGCTCATATTTCGAACGGTTAACTTATTATTAAGAATCTGGTGATGTGACTATATATAATCATTTATTTCCGTCGAATCCTTTGATGAATCTATATGTTACCACTCCTATTTGATTGCACATGTCAGATATGATGACACTCATGTGAAGTTTGTTTGAACAATGATTTTAGTTGACAAGAATAGAAAGTATAATCGATGCCTTCTCTAATATGATAAAAGATTCTACATTATATATAAGCTCTTCTATTTTTTTCACCCGATGACTGCTTGGTTTTGGTACACTTTTTTATGATGATATATTTTGCCCATAAGCCACAATTCTACTGATAAGGTTGGTGTATTGCTATGATTCATCCCATATTGATGAGTCATAATCATTTGTTTTATATCTAGATACATACGAGTGGACAATTCGATCTGTTCTGTAAACTGTAACCGGATTCGTCCTCACTTGTTTTCCTAAAACAAGAAAACAATTATCGTAATACCTATGACATGCATGCTTACATGTAGAAAATACAAGCATATATTCTTAAAACGTTCGAACCAAGTTGAACGAAACAAAAGATTTACATTAAGCAAATAAATACAATATGGGGTTGTCAACAATACCACAAAGAACATACCGTATGTCAAATTCTTAATCTTAGGGATTCTAGAAAAGTTGTGAATACATGTAAACAAATGTATTAACAAAAATACCGAACTCCAAGGTAAATTAAAAAGGCGGAGATCCATAAAACCTGACGAAATCAAAAATTAGACTATACTAGATTAACAAACAAAACAAATTGAAAACAACTGGCATATTCCTGACTTGACACAGGCATTTTCAAAGGAAATGATAGAGTGACCTGGTTTTTTAGGTAGCCAAACTTCCGACTAATGACGTTTGTTTGTTGTTCCACTATATTGACACTATCAGGTGCACAATCAAAACGGATATACTAGGTTAATATGAAAATAATTTTGATCCAGCATAATAAAAATGCATGTGCAAACAAACACCACTGACAACATGGACAGACAACACAACTGATAAAAAAAATTCAAACAAACACACAAACAAATCTGACAGAGACGCCAGCAAAAAACTTATTGTAGTTGATAGTAAATCTAACAAAGAGACCAGCAAAAACAGTTTTTGTTGTTGGTGGTGAAATTAGTTTATAAAAACATTATACCGTACTTTTATAGACTTTCTCGAGAATGATCAATTAAGGATGTACTTAGGTGAAATTTGAAAAATCTAGAATTAAAATACGATAAGTCGGAAAAGCATTAGTCAAGGAACAAAATAAGCTTAAAATATTGAAAGGTTATGGAGCTCCTTTTCGAGATATTTGATTTTTAAAAAATGGCGGGAAACGGCTGACTCTGACTTTTACCTTATATTTGCATTGGTACTATTTGAGTCTCAAATCAAAAGAATAAAATCTAGAATCTGCTTAAATGTTGGTAAATGACCTTATATGAGCTAATGAAGTTTTAAATGAAAAGAAAATGGGTGTTATTGGGCAAAATATTTTACCCTGTATTCAAGGAAAAAAACTAAGTAGTCCGAAAATCTGACACAAATCAGTAAACCTCACCTTCTTTAAGTGAAATATAAAAACAAGGGTTAACAAAATGTAACCAACAGTGCGAAAAAGTCGTACGTCATATCCTCATATCTAAACTGGCATGCAACAGGAACGTTTGAGGCCAACAATCCGATTGCTAGATGCACAAATACCGAGTGACGTCAAAAGTCATACTTTCAATGACGTAACAAATACCATTAACAACAATTCCGTTAACTATAAAAACATTCATATTTTATGGCAAATAACCGCTGGCAGTGTTCTTGACCCAGAAGAGTAAAGATCACGATGTAGTGTTCGTAGAGATCTTGCTAGTTCTACCTTTTATACCATAAAGTGGATAAAACAATGTATTGTAAAAATCACAACAATAAGTATCTAATATTAGAAAACAAACATTGATGAATGACTTTGTAATTTAAAAGTGTGGTAGCTAAAAAAAAAACCAAACAAAGGATGTCATATAAACGTTTGCACCATCAGTTCTATTGACTGAACACTATGATGTGTACATATAGTATTTAATATTAGGAAAAAAAACATTAAAGAATGACTTCGTAAAATAAAAATGTCTTATCTTAAAACTACAATGATCTCATATAGACGTTCGCACCATCAGTTCTATTGACTGAACACTATGATGTGTATATAGAGCCAGAGTTCATTGCTCCTAGTCTCTGTCGTTCTATTTAAATCTCCAATATAATTATAATTTAACTCACGTATTAGGGTTGTTTAATACTCACTGAAAAAGAAAACAACCAAAACTGTTTCATTGAAATGATAATTGTTACCTTTAACTTTTTGGTTGCATATCTAGACTGTGTCAAATATTGTTTTCATACATGCAAAGCTACGTTCTATTTGTTTTATGCGATATGAAGAAGCAAATGTTGTTTAATTCTACTTATTCGCAGGCTTTACTGATTGTAAATACAGATTGTTAACTTCACTTGTAAACTATCACACCATTTCCACGGAGTAATGCTACACTAATAAAAAAGGAGATGTGGTATGATTGCCAATGAGACAACTATCCACCAAAGTTCATTTGAAGAGGATGCCATATATATTAAGTTACTCTCTATTCGTTCATAAAGTTTCAAATAGGATGCAAATTATCATTCTTAAATCTTACCTCTCCTTTCTTTTTGACATCCTCTTGACATTCCTTCATACGTCCGTTTTCCCAAATTTGTCCAGGGAGAGGCGTTTCTGTTCCATAGGAGGTAGAACGGGCAGCCACTGATGTCATTCTTCAATTTCAATTACAGATATTCTGAAAATACCGTTCAATTCATCAACATTTAGGTTGCACTTTGTAAATACAGTTGTTTCACAAACCACGCCTCTTTTGGGGAGATATATAATATTCATAGATATTTTGTTTTGTTTACGTACTGGTTCGCAGATATAATCTATATGTTTCATCTCATAGAGACATAACTTGGGAATGTTACCAGTATAAATACACATAGTAGCGGCGAAAATTTAATTCTAAAGAAGACCCATAGTGAGGGGAGCGTAGTACAGAACTTTAGTATAAGTTTTGAAGTTCTGAGCATATAAATGTTGAAAATATGCCGCACAGCCCTATGTTTTGACTTTTGAATAAAATATAAGTGCTTATCAACTTTCCATTCTAGGATATTTACGTAACTTCATAGTAAAAGTGGCACAGTTTTAGCCGTAAAGGGAGTTCCTATGGGAAATTGCATTGTCTATATTAACAGAAGTGCAACCTTTAAAAGCATCATGTATTATATCTTTATATAGATATAAGATGTGGTATGAGTGCCAATGAGACAACTCTCCATCCAAGTCAAAATTTATAAAAGTAAACCATTATAGGTCAAAGTACGGTCTTCAACACGGAGCTTTGGCTCACACCGAACAGCAAGCTATAAAGGGCTCCAAAAATTACTTGTGTAAAACCATTCAAACGAGAAAACCAACGGTCTAATCTATATAAAAAACAAGAAACGAGAAACACTTATGAACCACATCAACAAACGACAACCACTGAACATCAGATTCCTGAGGACAGGTGCAAGCAATTGCAGCGGGTTTAAACGTTTTAATGGTACCAAACCTTCACCCTTATCTGAAACAATAGTGTAACATCACAACATAGAAAGATACACTATAAAATATCAATTGAAATGGCTTAACTCAATCAAAAGACATCTTAACACCAGTGAACATACACTGAACAAATAAATTTTATATATGATACAATGCACATATTTAAACTGTTAGTCGGTATGTGTTTAATATTATACAAGTTTTCCGGATTTCGGAAATGAGCAGTTAAAACTGGCACCGATAATGTTATTACTACCAATAGGTTGCTACCTCTTGTAGTGAACTGTTAGGTCTCAAGAGTATCACCAGCCCAGTAGCCAGTACGTCGGTACTTACCTGAAAATACGGATATTGTGTTTTTAAAATTTGTTGTTATAATATTTTGGAAATTATTCTTAGTTAAAGAGTATACCTCCTTCCTGCATATCTCTAATTCCTTGCCATGATATGGCTATACATTTTTGGTTCATTAGCTCTTCCTTATTTAATAAACATTTGAACATTATAGCACAATTGAAGAGACATTCATGACGAAATTCGCATTGTGTGCAGTAAAACTGATATTACTATCACTTGGTCGAAATTTCTATTTGGTGGACTGTTAAACCCGGTGTAACGATCAAATTGTCGAACAGGAATGCAAAAAAGATAAAATGATAAATAGTTCTTATGTTTTCCCAACAGTTTCCCTAAACATGTAATCTAGATTTGTGCGAGTTACCGTGTGTACATTTTTTTTTTATATCTGTGGTAAATATAAAAAAGAAGATGTGGTATGATTGCCAATGAGACAACTCTCCACAAGAGACCAAATGACACAGAAATTAACAACTGTAGATCACTGTACGGCCTTCAACAATGAGCAAAGCCCATACCGCATAGTCAGCTATGAAAGGCCCCGAAATGACAAATGTAAAACAAGGCAAACGAGAAAACTACACGGCCTATTCTATGAGCAAAATAATGAACGAAAAGCAAATATGTTATACAGCAATAAACGACAACCACTGAATTATAGGCTCCTGCATAACTTAGGACAGGCAGATACAAAATGTGGCGGAGTTAAACTCGTTTCAAGGCGCCAACACTCCCCTGACATGGGACAGTGGTGTCACAGTACAACATAAGAACAAACTATACAAATCAGTTGTCAACTTGAAAGATGGATTTAAACATGTTAAAAGGCAAAGCAAAATTCGGTGATTGGCTTTTACATTTCAAAATTAGTCATTATAAGAAATATGTGTCTGTACTCAGACATGTATAAATAAACTTGTGATAAGAAAGCATAGCAGTCTGGAATTTGTCAGTCACTAGTAAGACAAAATTCTAAAATATGTTTATTCTCCGTATGATGGGAAGCGATACCTGTTTAGGTTACACCTGGTGAGAAACCCTAAGCTTATTCACTGGTTTTGGTTATTATTTGTTTGCTTGTATACTCGTATGCTAGTATATTTTTGAATTATTATAGAATTAAGCTTCTTTCGTGTAATGATTTGCACTGTATGCACCAATTGTTTTTCCTCTTACCGAGATTAAAAGCGGGAATTGATATTGCCTAAAGCGGTTCAACAGTAAAACATTATATCACACTTGATTTATTTTTAAGTTGATTGGATTTGAGATCGACAAATATACAAGAAGTTATTAAATATGATTTAGATAACTGAGTTTTGGCTACCAACTTATTTCAAATATTCAATAAGAAATTTGGAAAATTAAATATAAAACAGATTTTCTGATGTAAGAATTTTATTTGTTGTTTATTTAAATCTACTTTTA